TGCTTAACAATAAGCTTTTCAGATTTCACTATAATAATGACCTTAATGACCTCACCGGAGCTTATCTGTAGTTTCATCTGGAATAGATTTTACAAATTTATGGTATGTTAATTATGTATGTCTGTCAAAACCGCAGCATTTCATTGTTTGAAATATATAGTTCTTATCAAAATTTAAATTATCTTAAACTTCAACTGTTCACAACTGGATTAGTGGGAGATTTTGTTTTATGTCACCTTTAGACATGTGATAGTTGTTTGAAAGACGTGAAGTGTTAGATATGTTTCAAGGCATGTTTGTGTCAGCATTGAGTGACATACGATCATCTCATGCGTCCACTTGCGACAAATGATGAAAACGCCATTTTAATTGAATGATATATACTTCGTAATTAAATTATTAAGAACCCGTCGCTTACATTGATTATCGTGTCTGTCGTTCTAACTCGACAAATAAATTATTATAATACACCCCCCCCCCCTCCCGATCTCTCAACAATGCCATGTGGTACAACACATGGCGATACAACTGACTGTGCTTTAGAATCTATCAAATCCTTTCAGATATATAAAAGTACGATATCCGAGTTAATTAGCCCCTGGTTAACTTCTGAAAGCCGTCGGCTCTTTAAACCATTGCCTCAGCCATAAGTGGTAAATAATATCGTGCATGAGGTAGGATATACTTTTTCCCTAGAAAATCTCTGTTTAAATTACATAAAGGTAGTGGCCTCAATACGATGATGTAAAACTCATAATCGGATGACACGTAGTTTCTCCAAAATGCTAATGCTCATCAAAATAAAATGTCAGGGTGTTGTCGATTTCTGTCACGTTTAGATATATGTTTCGCTCAAGCATATAAAATTATCATGTTTTGATTCACGGTAACAGTTAAAACCTTTCTAAAGTCATAATCTGTAGATGTCAAATTTGACAAGGGCTCTTATTACCCATCATAAAGATTTTGATGTAGATTTATGGTTGCATATTTTGTCTGTACTTCGTGATGTAGACCGTGTTTTTTTTATTCTCATCATTTTCCTTTTGCCTTAGCCGTCCGGTCCAGAAAACGTAGCGATAGTTAAACTAGTTTTTAAAAGACTTATAAGAGCTGTAATAACCCCTGCCACCTGCCGTTTTTATGATACTCGAATGTAGTACATGTACTCGTATTTATAGCAATTCTCTCAATTATCCTTTCTTCTCTTTGCGTTGAATCGGGGGGGGGGGGGCTAAATGGTTAGCACGTGCGCGCTGTATCATAAAGTCTGTCATTGAGTCAACTGGCGTGGTTTCGAATCCCCGGTTGTACGTGACAAGGAGTAGGGTCGCCTGTCCAACCTCGTGGGTTTTCTCCGGGTCCTCCGGTTTCCCCCCACTGCCAAAGACCTCTACGCGCAAGCAAATTATGGAAATAAAATTGAACCGAAATGACCTAGTTTGTGTCGAGTGGACGTTAAACTCACTCACTCTCTCTCTCTCTCTCTCTCTTTGCGTTGAATCGAACAAGAGACGCTCAATTGTCACTCTTTGCTAGGTTGTGGTGAATATTCATGTTTTTGAAGCCTAACGCAGACGATGGAACATAATTGTCGATGAACAAAAACACCGAACAAATAGTTGTGTTTTTGTTGTCCGCCGACGTCGAACATGGTCTTGTCGAAGTCAAGAGTCGAATTCTATTGAGCTAAATGCTGACATGTTTTGTAAAAGGGCCGTGTACAATATTTTACACCCACTGTTTGCATAGAGGGAAGTGTCTTAAACCGTAATCTGGTTTGCTGCTCACTTAGCACATTCCTGAAATGAAAAGAAATGGTGTTTAACCCCCTACTGTTCTGCTCCGACTGCACTAATGAAGACGGCAGTAGATTTCTATACCACGGTTCGCTACCAAAAAGTTACATTATACAAAAGATTGACAAACTGCGAAAATAACGTACATGCGCAGATCTTGCGTCCTAAGCCTTTGGAGCTATGTTGACGAGAAGCACCAGTGTACTATGTATCAGGAGCCGACCATGACCAGGACGTAATCTCGGGCTTCAGATGTGATGGCATACATCAAAAAGCCAAGTCCGACAATAATTGATGAGCAGAAACAAGCATCGTATTTGAATTGACATAGTCTAATGCCTTTTCCGAAGAGACATGAAACCAAGATGAACAACAAGAAGGTCTGTAGAGTTTGGGTCCCATTCCTGATTCAAACACCTGCATTGTCTATTGTTAATTTCTCAGTTGCAATTGATTCATGTTTTGTTAGAAAAACGGATGATTCGTTCATAACCTAGTCATGATTGAGTTTCCCTTTTGTTTTCCTTTATGATAAAATGTAAGATTGTTTGTTTTATAATTGCAGCTAAACAGCGGGTTTTTTCTTAGAAACTTAGATCTAGGACGCCAAAATGCTGAAGTTTACGTTTATGTTTTTATGTAAGTATTAAAACCATCTTATGTGCATTATATAAAAAAGAAAGAATGATGACTTTTATTTTTTTAAAAATAAACAATGCAACCATGTTTTTGCTTTTTAATCATGGTAGATAACTAGCGCTAGGTATGGATTTTAGCCTTAAGGCTCGGTTCGGTATGACTCTATCTTTCCGATTTCTTAAAGTTCCTCTAGTCTAAATTAGGTAACCAAAGAAGGAATTTGAACCCCTTTTAATGCTTAAACATTAAAAGTTTTCTGGATTTTCTTTAATTAAAAGGTCTAAAAGAAATTACAAAACATCACCTTTGAATTCCTTCTGGATCAGCATAGTATTTTAGCTATGTGTAATTAAGCTTCGAGGGTATAGCTGTGATTTATTGGAGAATTTTCCCAACACCACTTTACAATGCTTCTGTTTATATTTTCTCTTTAGTGTGTATCCTTTCTACGAAGACCGTATTGTGCTGTTTCCAAACATGTACAACTACATTTAACCAACAATTAACAATGGCTACACAACACAATGATCCAGATTTATTAGCTAAAAACACCTGCAGGTAAGTAAATCAGAGGCCCAGAGGAACTAGCAACAATATTTTATTGAAGCCCCGGTATTTCAATGGAATCAGTTTAAGTGAATTACACTGATAAAACTACAGTCTTTGTTCATGGCAATAAGTACTTTCCAAAGATCTCCGAATCATTATCGTATAAAACAAAAGCATTCACGTATCGTTTGACGAAGTCGTGAGTGGTTGTAGCAGAAAGTTGTGCCATCTTCAGAATCACTTGAAGCATTTCAATCAAACTGAAAAGAATACTGTTTGGACGGAACTAGTTTTAGATTTGTCTAATACAATGAATGTTTACGCATGAACAATAAGTACTTTCCAAAGATCTCCGAATCATTATCGTATAAAACAAAAGCATTCACGTATCGTTTGACGAAGTCGTGAGTGGTTGTAGCAGAAAGTTGTGCCATCTTCAGAATCACTTGAAGCATTTCAATCAAACTGAAAAGAATACTGTTTGGACGGAACTAGTTTTAGATTTGTCTAATACAATGAATGTTTACGCATGAATGGCGAAGAAGGAGCGATTTAAAGGAAAAACATCGACAACTTAAACGATTTCAACAGTCTAGGTTTTTATTTTGTTAAAATACATTCCATATTTAATATTTTCCAGTTCTTTTTACTAGTCGTACTTCATAATGTTTTGTCATTTATATACTTTCTTTCTGTTTATAGGGCTATTAAAACATATTCGGAATGTATGAAGAATCTGGTTGCACAATGTAATCAAACATCTAGAGTGTTGATAGAAAGTACTATACAAGCTGTTGATGCAAATTATAACAACAGTTGTCATGAGAGTAAGTTTTGTCTGTGTTTGCCACCGTGTTACCTTAAAATTTGGGTTTATGAGAAGTCGACATTTAATGTCGTTACCTATGTATATTAGTCTGTTTACTAGTTCATGTGTACATTCTACAGGCGAAATTTTTGGCATTCTTCTCGCCAGTCTCGAAATTATTACCTGGTTTACATTTTGACTTTATGAAAAGTCAATTGATGCAATAAATGACTTGACTGTCTTTAGGAATTTGTAAAATTATGCTGATCTCTTCATTTGGGTTATCTCCCCGTTTACATAAACATAATGTACAGGGAAGTGACGAAGTTGATCACATGATTGCGTTTTATTTCCATCTACCTTGAAAGGAGCATCCATCAGACATTGAATCAGACTTCCGTGACATTGTTTCATTTCTATAAAGAATAATTTTATATTGGCATGCCATCATAGAATAAACAGTTTTGTATATGACAACGTCATCATATTAGCGGATATGCACTGTAAATATTTTTATCGCAATGTGATATTTTAATTGTACCCACGAAGTCTTTAGATAGTATAAATACCACACTTCTCTAATAAGTTCATCTGTTATAGAGTTGATTTTCTGCTGCCGGTTTACGTAGCTCACCATTTAATGTTCACCATGAAATTTGAGGTCATTTTAGGGAATCTAAGAGGTGGTTTGATTGATTAAAATCACAAATCAAGTGTTTACTTGTGAATGAATTCCATTTGAATGAAAGGTTCAACGTCACCAGGCATGGAGAAATTCTCGTATTTTGAATCGGAATTGCAACTGTGAAGGGAACAATAAGATTCTATATCTGAAAAGTATCTATATTGGAATTCTCAATCGTCAAACCCATATTAAGCGTTTCAGTTTCTGCTCTACTTCTGTATTAAATCTTGGACCAGGAACTGGTTCCCAAGCTCTACCCATCTTATCTGTGTTCCTTGGGCGGCGCTCGTCGAAACGGCACCACGAATCCCTGTACGATCGACATGCTTGTTCTATGGACAATTGCGCCTCGGTTGTCGGGGTTTGATTTTGCTATGACGTCACAAAAAGACTGCGATGACATTATTGTCAGTTCATTGTCCATAGTACGGTGGTACCTATTATTAATCAAAATGCAGTTACACAAATGCATTTTAGTTTTTTTAATTCCGAATATTTACTTGATCTTTATTATTATAGATGCATCTGCTATTGTGGCTAAAGCGATGGAATGTACACAGAAAGCTGGACAATGTATGCAAACCTTTAATTTTACAAATCAGGTGAATGGCGCCGTCGATCCTACAGTATTATGCAAGTAAGTATAGCAAGATCTGTGGGTGGGTTGGTGTGTAGGATCGATTTTCGACAAATACACAGTCTAAGTTGAACGTACATGCACAATATTCCAAACCAAAATGCAAATATAGTCATTGTATGAAGAATAAAACAGTGTATTATTACATCTAAAGTTCCTGTTGCTTCCTACTAGTGCCGACTATCGAGGTAATGGTGGGATCTTCTACACTGTTGGTAAAAACGTTGGATATCGGCGAGTAGACTTATCCAATATTATTTTGGGTGGCACATCATTCAAAGATTTTCCTTTCGATGGTTACTTCACATTTCACAGACAAGCATATAATTGCAGTCTAGTCAAAATACGCCAATATGGGGCCAGCCGACCACAAATTCCTTTAGAATTTTTTTGGGCAAAATTTTTTTGAGTGCCTTTCCCTGCATATCATACTAAAATTCTTCCAATATGCGATTATACTTTCGATGGCCTACACTGCATGAAAATGTGACAAGTTGTAGTGGTAGGTCGTGTCAGGGGTCGTACGAGCGGCTTTCGACCCTATGACTCTAGACATTGATTAATCAATCAGCGTTGACGTTTCTAGTGGTTTACCCACAGTCAACGTAACAGACTGTTTCATTGCCCAATCCCTCACTTCAACCAAAACGCCAGTAATATAACAACTCTTCCAGATCCTAGTGTAGGAAAGACAAGTAAAACGAAATTTTGACTATAAAAAACGAAACGAAATAGGATCTGTGTTTTAATCAGATTGTTACCGTCTGTGGGCCATCCTCACTGTTGGCTTGTTACAATAGGATTTGATATATTACATTAGGAGTTGTACATTGCCGCCCTTATTTACATTAATTACTAGTATCACAATATAGGTTAATATTACAATAGGGGGTTTAACACCGCTCACCTGTGATGCGGCCAGCCATCATTTGACACGCTTGCACCACTAGGTACAGACCTGGCTCGGAAACCAAATGGACCCAACTAAATACGGTAGTGATAATTATGTCCCCCGTACTGTGTGTAATTTTTTTAGGGCCAGAGGCTATGTTCAAGATGATCCCACGCGGCTGCTCAGGTGACTGCGCCTCTCGAAGATGTACTCGACTAAATCCTGTTTCGGACGTGGTGGAAAGATCCACACTAACCCACATTACGGATAATCAGAATATATGTTGTACTTTTGTACAGTATGTAACAGGAAATTCGCAACTGATCGAACATGTCTCGCCTGGCAGTTAGATCAATACACTTTCACCGACGGCAGTACATTTTTCTACTTGATTTGTGAAATTTAATTCTGCTTGTTTTTTGGGGGAGTGAATAATCGAGCCCAGGACTGCCAGGACATGTGTAGGAATCACACGTGGTTTCCCGGGAGGGGGGGGGGGGGGGAGTGTGACCTTATCGATATTTGCTTCCGGACGAAGTTGTTTTTCGCGAGATTTCATCGCATTTTGAAAGGTAAATTGTTACGTCGATAACTCCCATAAACCTTAGGTGGAATTCGGTGGATTTTAAGCATAGTGTACAGGGAAAGGTTATCTACAAGTTGGTACCAACACACATTCTAATGGAATTTGTTGTGGGTCTCTCAGTATTTTGACTAGTTCCTTTAGGAACTGTCTCAGATCGGACGATGTTCGCTGACAGATCATATCCGTCCCTATATAGCTGCAATATTAAAATACGGTAAAATACCACTCTTCCCCACCTCTGCTCTCAGGCTATTTGGAACCCTTACCTTCTATTTTTCACCATGATTCTTTATTTTTCGCAAAAAAGGAGTCACCATATCTGACACAAATTTATGATACATCAACACTATTTTCAAGTTGAATTTAGCGATTAAATAACATGCGGTCTGCGCATGTTTGAGTCTCGTACTGGATGATCAATTTAAACGTATTTTGCTTATGTTTTTAATCGCAAAATTCTACTTGAAAATAGTGTTGAATTATTATAAATGTGTGTGGCAAGAAATGATTCTTTTGGCGAACAAAAAAGAATCATGGTTAAAATATAGTCGGTAAAGATTCCAAAATAGCCGTAGAACAGAGGTGGGGTGGGGAAGAGCGGTATTTTCTGCAGCTATACGGACGGAGAGGAATTGTCAGCGAACATCGTCCGTCCGATCAGAGTATTTTGGTCTTATACTTCAATGTTATGATATTAGACTGTCCATTTCGGAATCTAAACCCGAATGGACACACACATGTCCATAAATGCATATGGGGAAATTAACATACATAAGTAAATGCTGTGCATGCAAACAGACAGGGCTTAAGTTACTTGTATGATTTATCGTTGTATTCACTGGTGTTATCCTGTTACGCCATTATAATATAGATATTATCTTTTTCAAAAACCTGAGGCAGTATGCTTGACGTGACAATGCTGCTATATAGTTACTTTACTTTTGGACATAGCAACAATAGAAAATCAAGCTATGAAATATTCACGCAAGCTTGATTTGTATGCATATGTCATATGATATTTACCACGAATGTTTTAGGATAATAATACATAGCAACAATATAAATTAAAGTCATATTATTTTCATATCAGCGTATTTTGTATTCGTATGCACACGAAAGCAGCATCATCTTGCATTTAAAAAAAACCGAACACAATTTCTTTTGTAGCTGTAAAAATACCTTTCTTTCAAACAAAATATATAATCTGTGCGACTGAACCGTTTAAAAGGGTACGTGCAAATACATATCATGACGTTAAATGAAATGTTACAATTAAATGACTGCCAAATTATCATCCATGTAGGGGGGTTGGATGGCTGAATGGTTAGCGTGCGAGCGCTGTATCATAAAGTCTGTCATTGAGTCCACAGAATCCCCGGTTGTACGTGACAAAGAGTAGGGTCACCTGTCCAACCTCGTGGGTTTTATCCGGGTCCCCCGGTTTCCTCCCACTGCTAAAGACCCCTACGCGCAAGCGAATTATTGAAATAAAATTTAAAAAACCCATATGTTAGTCCCGAAATGACCTAGTTTGTGTCGAGTGGACGTTAAACCCCATTTCTCTCTCTCTCTCTCTATCATCCATGTACATTAATCGCTTATCGCTAAAATTAAATCATGCCGAAGATATTGAAACGTATTTGGATTTTATCGCTAAAGTTTAATCATGTTGAATGCTGTGAAACTTATTGAGATTGGACATTTGTTTCAGTGCTTTAGATGTATATACAAACTGTACAGAGATTTTAATGTTATCAACCGATTGTAGTCCTTATATGGGTCAACCAGCAGCTCAGCTAGAGAACATGAGGAATCAATATGCCCAAATATGTTCACCAGGTAGTACTTTGTAATTGCAATCCCAGTCGCTGCCATCTGACAGCTGTCTAGTCGTTCGGGTCTGACAGTTGGAATTCGATATGAGAGTAGGCCGTAGTGCCGCTGTCCGGGCAAAATTTCCCTCATAGCACACTGTATGGCTTATACCCGTCTTCATTAGCCCAGTTCGGAACTTCATGTGTGAAAGTCGAATCTGTGAAAGCAATGTCAGTTAAAGATAGATTACATTGTGGGAGATCAGATAAGAGCGCACTACAATAGTTAAAAACTAGATAATGTAAAGGGTTTTTACTGAAAATTTCAGTCAAATGGATCTACTCTGAACCGAGAATTCAGCGATTGAATTTTCGTCCAAGCATCGATCATCATTACTAAAGTTTTGATTATCCGTTTCATGATTTAATCATCAATGAAATTTGAGCAACAAATCGGATCCTAATCCAGTAAATATCGGAGGCTAGCGATGACACTGAGGGTTGAGTTAATTAATGTCTAATTAATAATTTAAATGACATATCAGGCATAAAGAAAGACCTGAAATAGGCAGATTTAGCTCTTACATAATGTATGTTTAAGATTGAACATTTGTCAATATCCGGCATTATCAGCTGGCGATGTAATCTTCTCTAGCATCTTTTGGTGGGTCTCCTTTTATTCCGATTGAATCGTCCGAATAAATTTTAGTGCAGATCAAACGTGGAAATCTGCTATTTTCCGAAAAATGCACAGCGACATTAATAACAACTAATCTCAAGCGCCTTATACTGTTGGCCATTCTTTGTACTACTAGGGTGTCTTCATCGGAAGCTGGTACTTTAGTACAACACAATTTATACAGAAAACAATCACTGGTTTGTACAGATATATAGCAGGACGTTTCTGCATATTATGTTTTGTCGTTTTTATAGGGCATGGTGGTGTTCCAGGATCAAACGCTGCCCATTGCTTTAATGTAACTATGACCTGCTATGATACATACAGTAGCGCACATAATCCAATGGATTTTACTAAAGATGTTGAAGGAATGTGTCGGTGAGTTGACTGATACTGCCAGTTCAATATACTCTCAGATATATGTAAATAAAACGGATTAATTATGCGTGGGATACTCCTGGTAACCGTTATCATAGTCCTGTGAAATTATTCGAAGACCTGTGATACATTTTGGACGAAATACTAACTTCCCATGAGGTTATTGCCGGAAATTCCCGGATTCGGTGTTATATGATTGTCTGGATAATCATGTAGTTATTGTTAAGCAAATCGGGCGATCATTTTATTATTACTATTCTTTGGTTCAGTTGACAATGCAGACCAATAACAGAAGTTTGACGTCTACAGCTAAATTTGGCTGGCATTAACTCTACTTTGAAATTTAAGTTATTTTCTCGCCCAACCAGGAGGCTTCAACCCATTTTCGGTGATAAATAGGCATTATCGAGGCTTTATTGTGAACTCAACTGAAATTACCAGACTATATCATATGGCAGTATCAATTGATCTAGGAATCACTTGAGAATCTAGGGAAGGGGGAAATGACTTATGGGGATGTGTCCGTGCACCCTAGAGACTTAACCAAATGGTTAAGCTGAAAGGGGAAGCTATCATTCATTTTAAGTTATTTTTTGCTAATATCTTCTTAATATTTTTTTTTAACAGATCTATGAATAATTATATTAATTGCGTAGGTAATGTGACTAGTAATATTGAATGTCAACAATATGCTCCCAAGATACAATCTGGTGTTTATTCCACAGTACACCAGCATAGAGCACTTTGTAGAACAGGTAAAAACTATAACTTCAAACATATGAATAAGAAATAAATAAAGCTCAATCAATAACGTCGAAGAAAGAAGTACTCAAACGTCTTTGGTTCAAGTAATCCATAATAGAAGTGTTTATTGCGGACAAGATACGATTCTCATCTAAAGACTTCTGAATGGCTATAATTGCTTTGAAAACAAGATTTAAGATACGTTTCGAAATAAGCACCCAGCAAAAGTAATTAACAATTTATAAGTTGACACGAATAAATATTGAGAAGTCCCTTGGTTCGAAAAATGACACACAACTTTATATTAGTGTATGGGGGCTTATTTCTGCGAAGATCAGTAGTTGGCGCAATGTCTGCGATAATTAAAAATTGTAGGCTTAAACAATTATTTATAGACTACAGCGTAAATCTGAACTCAGACATGTCCATGTTTACAAGAAACAGTACCTTGAAAGTACAATGAATTTAATAGAACAATATGGAATGACGGTTTGTTGTAAATGGAATGACGGTCTGTTGTAAATGGAATGCACAATACGTTGTAAATAGAACATCGGACACAATTGTATAATATTGTTTTCTATTTGATCTTATTTGCGTGACATTCTGAAAAAACAACCTCCGTGTTTTACTTGAAAATAGATTAAACCCATGGTTTTTTTTGTTAGTAATAAATTGGTGTTAAGTTCGTTGTTACCATTTTTAAATTTAAGTACCATGATTCAGATTTCATTTTAATCTGTTATTTTTTTTATCACATTTATCGTAATATTTTTTTCGGAAACTAACACTTAAAGAGCTACAGTAAATGAACAGAACAAGGTAAACATTAGTCACAATGTCTTCCCTTGGGCGTTTGTAAATTACGACCGATCAAACTACGGAAGAACAAAACACATCTATACTAAATCTTGTATAATATAGAATAACAATTATCTCTTTTTTTAACAAAAAAAACCCATGCATCTTCTCTACGATGGTTTTGTCGTCTTTATTAAGCAAATGATTTGGAGAAGTTGCGTTAAACATTTGCCCAAAATATAACATTTTCTGGGCTACCTTGATTCCCGATTTTGTTTGGTCGATGCCAGTCATGGCCGTATTGAAACGATTCGCCGATCAGACGATCGTGACCCCAGTCGAAGTGTTTCTAAAGTTTCTACCAGTCCACATTCCGGGAACTTAACATTTATAAATAACATTAGGAAATAATGTTTTGTTTGAAAATAACGAAATACGACCATATTATTTTATTAGATGGCGGTAAAACTGCAGGAAGATGCTTCAAAACCTTTGAATCGTGTTACGGTCCCTTTAACCAGACATACATACCGGCATCAGCATCACATGATTACCCTTCCATATGCAGGTGAGTTTGGTTCCTTATGATACTTTAATGGGTGACTTTATCACCCAAAAGGTTCCACTACTGATAACTTTTGTCTCTGACCCCATCCACAATAGTAGATGGTTCTACGGCCTTAAACATAAAACACCTTCAATTAATCTGATCCAAAGGGTTACTACCGTAGCTTAACAGATAATTAACTAATGCACATTGAAATAAATGTGAAACACTTTGAAAAATCCAACGGCCACTCGAGATTTTGCGTGGGTAACGTCATGGTTACTTGTGTACATATAAAATGTCTCTTAGAAAATGTAAAAGGCATTACCACAAAGAGAAACGGTTCGTTGATTATTTCAATGGTTCCTACTTCATTGGTTCTAATGATGTGTGTTGAAAATTATTCCTTTGGGGATATTTTTACATGCTCCAAGCACCAATGATTGAATAATCAATATTGCAGCTACCAATTCCATATAATTTTGTTAATACTAAACGTAATTGAACCATATTTGGACTGATATTTCTATTGGAGATTCATTTTTCACAATATTGTAGTTTGCAAGTGATTCTATGGCGCTAAAATGACGCATCGGGGCTTTAAAGGGCAATTCACCGCTTTAAACGAATTACATGAAGCTCGCGAAGGTTTATTCTATCTTCATAAAAATGTGCCTTTTGTAATATATGAGAATTTCGATGAATTTTCAGGCAATACGGTAATGCCCGTTGTTCATAACTTTCGTTCACAATTTTTTAAACAAGTAAAAAAAAGGAAACTTTTAGAATATATTCTTACGTCATAAATTCCGACCAGGAAGAGTCTTAGTTCATCAGTAATAGTTTTTATTACATTTTAGTCTTGAAGGAGTTTGCAATTTTTGTCTTATAATTACAATTAAGATACAGTAGGTATTTAAAATCGGAAGGCATTACATTCGGAAGTCGGAACATTTGGTAAAAAAACATTTAAACTGTGAAGAAAAGCCCCATCCCCAAAACCATCACTTTCATTATTATTATTATTATTATTTAAGGGCTGTTGAAAACCTTGTCACGTGTGCTAATGGTATAAGTGAGGAATGCATGTATTATCTAGGAAAAGCTTTAATTGGTGTTCAGAGAATGCAGAGACAGTATGCTTATAGATGTGCACCAGGTAATATGTCATAGATAAAACAATTGATACAAGACAATCCAGGAGAACCGTACAACAAGTCATAGACAAGCGGTGGTCGAGTTGTCTAACGCGTGCACTTTAGATTATTCGGTCTGTCCGTGGCGTTTTTTCGATTCCCATCTTTTACGTGTTAAGAGATAGATCCGCCTGTCTGAATTCGCCGGATTTCTCTGGGCCCTCCAGTTTCCTCCCACCGCTAACGTTCCATAAGCACAAATGAATTATTGAAATGTTAGTCCCAAAATGACCTAGTCTGTGTCAAGTGGACGTTAATCCCTCTCGTATGATGTTAGTTTTCGGAACAGCCCCACTATCACTATCTTTGCCCCGTATCGAGTTCACGAGCGTTAAAAGTCAACATATAACCAACAGCTAAGTCTGCAATCGCGTTCGAAATCTACGAAAATATTAAAATTCGATGGGATCTGAAATCTTATACCCCACTGAACAATCGCATTCAGAACTTTAAAGCAACTGACTGTGTAACCCTGTATAGGTTCTTCCATATGACCACACATCGCATACCTGCAAATTTGAAAGTGATCCAACATGACCTCAGATCTACTGAGTGTTCACAAATTATGTGCCTGATTTTAGTGGGTGAATTGTCTTTGCTTGGAACGTAACCCCGACCTCACTAAAGTGTCGAACTTACAGTTGGATGGTCACTTTGACTGGTGGTCGAAGGTTCCATCCAGTTTTGAGTATGTATGTGGCTTTGAGATAGGGGCGTCTTCTCGTCGTTGTGAGCTTACTCCAGGTATCCTTGTTTACCCCCATAGGACGATTGAATGGTTTGAATTTAAAGGTTGAATCTATATAAATACGTTATAGTTGTAATTTTTGTATACTTACCATGGAAATGCCAGTTGCTGTGGCATATTGCCGCACTTTGACTATGCCGGTGTTATTTGGGACGCGTGCACAGACTACTTATCTAATAATCTCGAATCCCTTCAGCTTGATGCACTACGCACTATTTGCGGGGCAGTTAAGGGTACTAGTCATGCTTCCCTCTACGCGGAAATTGGGTTTATTCCACTCAAAGAACGACGAAACCGACACAAAGTAAAATTACTATACAAAATTATAAATAACCTTACTCCTCCCTATCTTAAGAATCTCATAAATCTACATATTCATTTCAAAACGCAGATAAAATAAAAGAAATTCGATGTCGTACATTTTTTCTAAATCATTTATCCCATCCAGTATAAGAGAGTGGAATAAACTCAGCCCCCCCCCCCCCCCCGTAAGAAACTCAAGAACTCTTAAAATATTCTCCGATCATCTCTCCAAATCAGATATAAAAATTCGATCTTTTTACTATAACGGTCAGCGGAAACTCCAGATAACCCATAGTAAACTTAGACTCCGATGTACTGACCTACAGGGGCACAAATACCTCAAACATGTTGCTGACAGCCCCGCATGCCTCTGTTGTCACATTTTTGAAGATCCTGGTCGCTACCTCTTGCAATGCTCTTTATATTCAAATGCACGAAAGGAAACCATAGACAAATTACAATACGATCTCAAAAACATTAACTGTCTTCTGTTCGGGTCCTCAACCCACTGTATCGATGTAAACAACAATATTTTTAACCAAGTCCACAAGTTTATTGATATGTCAAACAGATTTTAATCTTGCCTACTAGTTGTTTAATTTACAATATTAATTTTAAATTACTTACCATGAAACCTTTAGTATGTCTTGTACATTCCCATCCATATCATTACATATGTATTTACACTTATATGTATGTGTTTGTCATTTTAACTGTGTATATTCACCCATTTTGTTCCTTTATTTTAATACTATGTATGTATATTATCTAGGGAGAGGGGTTTTACATAGGCTAAGCCTGTTCCCCAATCCCATTCAGACATCCTGAATAAAAATATTGCAGAATTCCATGTACTTTTACACTCATCAATCTTTTTGTATTTACGGACTTGGGTTCTATATTTTATTATTCGTATTAAATGACTGTACTATGATTAAGATAATATAGTGGTGTAAAATGCATGGTTTTATTGTTTTATATTATTAGAAAATGAACAAGCTGTAGCATGTAAAGCACTGGACAATTGCACAAACGAAATGATTAAATCTATGATGGTTAAGCCCACTAGCCATGCACCATCGTCGCCCATGTGTTCGTAAGTATCAAATAAAATGTCAAAACATTTACAAAACAATACACACTACAAATTATGCTTAAATATCATAAACTTAAAGTAACAATAGAATAGAACAACATACAAATTCAAGCTACATTCATTAGCATTTTTTAACTTGTAAATAAAATGAATGAAGCAAATCGGGTTTAAATTAACGCCCTAGTCTTTTGTACCGACAGGGCTAAATTAAGAGGGCTTCTTTTTTTCCCGAATTCCAACTGTCAAGGATTGTTTTACGTATACGCTAATGTGTACACGGGAACTCGGTTGTTCGTCCCATCCGAACGACTAGATCCTGTTCTTGCCAGGCCCTCCGTCCTGTACCACTGACAAGGTGAAACCTCTCCAGAAAATCCCGAGGATCTTTTCTCGGCCAACACCGGGAATGAACGTGAGACTTACTGGTTAGAGAGCCAGCGTCTCACCCACTGGACCAGCGAGGCTTCCAATTTACCATATGTAAGCAATAAGTAAGATATTATATACACTGAAATAAGATTAGCATTATGCAGTGAAACGTCTTTCATTGGAAAACCAAAAACAAATATGATAGTTAAAGTCCAATAAAACAAACTACAACATTCTGTAACATTTAAATTCCAGAAGTACTATTGATCAATTGTTCCCATGTGTTGAGAAAGCCTTTGATAGATGTAGTATTACAGAAACTGGTGTTACCGTCAAAAAGATTTCAACTGTTAGTCGGGATTACTGTTTAAACTGTAAGTATATTTTTACCATAATCATGAAACTGTTCATTTTTAAGCTATTTCTAAAATGCTTTAATCTTAATTTTAAACTATGTCTAAATGCTAGAATATTTTTCTATAAGCTATGTCTATAATGCTAGGCTGCTAATTTTTAAGCATGTCTAAAATGTTTTATCACTGTAATTTTATTTAAAATCATAGTTGTGTTGTGTTCATTGTGGCGATACCTCTGCATGCCCACACGACCAGCTTAATTTTGTTTTTGTTCACAAGGTTTTCGAGTTTTTTGGTTTTCTTTTTTGTTTCTTTTTACATGCACATTCTACAAAATGGCGATGTCTTTTTATCTGCAAATGAAAAACAACTAATTATTGCGGACCATCATGCTTATCTAATTTCATTATATATGCGACAATAGAAGGTGTCGCTAAAGAATGATCAAATATATTCCAGCACTACGTTGTTATATATCTTTTATGTTGTATTTGGAGGTGATCAAGTGTGTTATATTTTTGTTTTGCAACACTTCAGTGGTTCTGTATGATTAAACCTGACATTCGATGTATTGTGAAGAACCAGACAATAAATACTTAAAGTTATCTATATACTTATGCCACCTACAGTAATGTACATCAGATAACACGAAAACTATGTGTATGAAATCGATAAATAACAGGTTAAAGTTACTCCGACACTCAAAAGTCTTCCTGACATAAAATTTACAAGCAAATTTACAAAATTTTCTGAGAAAAACTTCTTAAATACCCAGAATGACATTTCTGACACAAAACCTCGATAAAGCAGCGACATATTATTACATTATCCCATTCCAACTGGCACATGAAATATAATTCTGGACGGATTTTTTTTATTTTATTTATGCATTTATCTATCGTAAACAAAGAAGTACTTGTACTTTATTTACTTTAATATATATCACTTTAATATATATATATATATATATATATTAAAGTAAATAAAGTACAAGTACTTCTTTGTTTACGATAGATAAATGCATAAATAAAATAAAAAAAATATATATTATATATATAATAATAATATAGCAGTGGTATTATGTAGAGCATCTAGACCTAACGATCCTTTGTAGTCGCATCGATGCCCCCCCCCCCCCCCCCCCCACACACACTTACCAGATCGTCAAAGTAATAAAGGTAATGATGCGAGGGATACAGGTATGCTTATTCGTTCTATAGCATATGATACAACTGCTCCCCTCCCCGCTCACACATACACAAACCATCTATTCATAATTCTTAATTGATTGTTTTCGTAATCGAAAACGTTACCATAGATGTGTAGCAATCACTTGAAATTTATGAAACGATTTTCTTCACGAATCAATGATTTGCAAGTTGTAAATGGACTTCATTAGATAAGGGGAAAAAGTTTCAACAATAGAAGAAGTGTTCATGTTATAGATTTTATATGATCGATTCAGACGTGACTTGGGTAGAGAAACAAACCCACTGATCGAATACATTTTTTCTTATCAAAATAACAAACAGGCACATCCCTCATGGAAGCAATGGCCCGACAGCCCTTTGTTTAATCTGGGGTCTTCCCTAAAACTTTGGACAGTGATTTATGGTATTAAAAACGGTTAAAGTAGTGTTCGTCTCCAAACAGTATTGTTTACATTGTAATCGTTGATAGCCTCGTTTGTCACGCAATTATTTTTTTTGCAATATTTTGATATGCACTGGTTAATTGTACGTAAAAATTTCGTGAGTCATGACGTAACGTTATGTAAACAATGTAGAGCTCTGTTTAAACCTGGATGACATTGTTACGCAGTTAGGCATTGGTTTCAGAAATCAGAAATTTGCTTTCATTACGGCAGTGCTTGGGTGGGATTGGGTCTAATCAAACGAAACACTGTGAGGAGTATGCAAAACATTATGATATTCAGTATTACAGGAAGTTGCTAAATCCTATAAAAATAAATAACCACAAAAGTAGTATCATTTGCACTCTAGGGCATTTTTAGGGGTTATTTGAACCTTGTTTACGATGGAAGAGTTATCAGTCCTTGTGGGCGTGGCTATGTTGACCATAGGTACATTGATCACGTGATGGTCGATTTAATTTGTTCCATTGGAAGAAAACAGTAAAATAATGTGATGTTTGTACGAATGTTTCCCATGAAACAAATTGTGATAGGTGTATTTGTTTGCTGATGAAGAGTTTGTATAGTACACACTGTTTTAAAATCGGCATCAGATTTGGTCAGTTGGTAAAAAATAATCGGGTGTATCAACCTACTAGATGTTTGTTTTAAGTTAGACGCCTATAGATGTATGCCAAAATTATGATTAAATCCTCCAAGCCATAGCCGAGATATAACTGTCTTAATTGTCAATTGGTACGATGTTGCCCCGGATATATATTATATAATGGACGACTTGTACTAACAGGTGAAGCCCACAGCCAGTTTATATCGCAGAACAAGCTGGAAGGAAATAGAAAAACATTTATGTGCACCTTTTCTTTGTTAAACGCACGACTAACCCAATCGTAAAAGAAACGAAATGCTTCTTAAAATAAAAAAAACAAATACAGGAGTGAGGGCATGGAGGCGTTATTGATGTCTTGAAATAATAGAGAGCTATTGAAAAAAAAAAACCTATGGAAAGTTTGTGTTCTTAATCCAGCTCATTGTTTCAAATTCAGTGGGAACCAAGGGGGTCATGAGAGGAAGAACCCTATAGATAGTCAGCGTTCCGCGAAATTCCGTTCCAGAATTACCCCTCCTTTGCCGAAATACTTGTGAAGGTGATAGAGGCTTCATTGTTTTATGCATTCTTTTAAAATTTGCCTTGAAGCATGTGAGCCACGGGAGGAGAAACCCTTTTTAGCGTTCAGCGACCTTCCGTTTCCGAATTAATGCCTCCTATCCCCCCTTTCCGAAGACTGTGTGAATAATAACTTTCTCTTCCAGCGATATAATAGTATATGTCTAGTAACGCTTGCGGTCAACATCCAAGTTTTTTCTCTCGGAAAAGCTTCTGTCTACAGCAACATTGTTTAGTGACATAGCTGGGCGTATTTCCGCACTTTGCCTGACTATATAAGTACTGGTATCTGTAATTTAGAATCACTTAATATAATATTATAATATGATACACGGGACAGCATGTACCACGGATATTGAAAGAGTTGTCAATATGGTTGCTATTGTTATAAATTAAGAAAGGATCAATGTAACATAGAAATAAACTGAAAAAATCCTTGACATATTGCATACAATAGTCTTCTCTCAAACGGTCACAATAACAATGGATATTGACCAGCGGAATTCGCCCATCATTAATCATTTATTACAAACCCAGTTAAATTTATAACACAGAAATGAGAGCTGAAAGATAATAGATATGGATAGAAATCGTGTAAACGGTCATGTAAAGCTTCGATTGGAAACAGTAGCCTAACGTTAAACGTTAAAAATCACTTATTGTGTTAATCCATAAAAGTTGTCGGACGGCCAATCAACCTAATCAAGATTATTCATAATAAGACAACTTTATGGATTTATTACTTCTTGCTTTATTACATGCAACGTTTCAATACTCTTACAGGTATCTTTATCAAGCAATGATCAATAATGAATACAACCATACATTTATAGTACATCCATAAGTAAAACTATTTATATCAGGCATAACATCGAATTAATTAAGACATAACAACACTTTCCTTTGAATGTGACGTCACTATCTAAATGTCATTTAAGGATATCATCAAGATAAGATTACAATTTTGTTTCGTTTGTTTATTCCTGGCTTTTACACAACGAACTTTTAGTCATCACTTCTGACAAAACTAAGATGTTTCTGACATAAGAACTTTATAAAATGTATTGGACATAAAAATTTTATAAAATTATTCTAAGACAAAAAACGACATATTAGTATGTTATTCCACTACGAATATCAGACAAACGTATTTCAAATGATTAAAACCCCTAAACTAGCCTACTCGGCAAAATCCAATACGTATTCCTATAAGTCACCACAATATACGCACTCAAAAAATGAAAAATTAAAACGGAACGCAATTGTCATGTATTTATAATAATACAAATTCTTGGTAGTAGTTGTTGTTACCTTAAGGTCGTTCCCACAGTTATTGCTTTAGTCCCCTGCTTTAGTATGCCCTAGTTTACATCTAATTCAGTAAGCGTGGACATAACTTTACCGTTTCGATGTAACACAGCGTGCCTCTTAGCATAATCCCAGGTCTGCACAATATCATTATATTAATGTATATTTTATTTTATGCTTTGTTTTATTAACTAAGGATTATATTTTATAATATTGTGAAATATTATGTTCTATTACAGTCGACAGCATGGCGTTAAACTCCCTTTCATTTCTATTACAGTCGCCAGTGATCCTAAAATTCACAACTGCCAACAGATCATCATGTGTCAAATGAATGAAAACTATACAATGAGTGATCCCTTACAGATGACCAACAGTACCTTCTGGTGTGGGTATGTAACCATTTAAATACATTGTCAAAACATTCATTCAGTTTATTAAATTGTCATGGCTAACGCATGCGAAAAAATACACGCTTGTGGAAAATCTAGACGCGTGTACAAATTGGTAAATGATGTAAAAGAATAAATCCATTGGCAGTATTAATGCGAAAAAAGAATTGGCGGAAACACATATTTTTCAAGAAAAAGAAAAAAAAAATCACGATAAAAGTATAAATAGAAAACTTTTTTTAGATTTTGTTATCATACATTATCTTTCGAATAGAATAACCTTTTTTCAGCCAGAAGTCCGTTCCGGTTTCTAGATTCAAAATAAGTATACTATTCAAAAAAAGAAGGGGATATTTGATTTTGGGGGCATAATACTAAAATATGCAAATGACTACGAAAAAAGTCACTATAGAACCTAACAGAAGAAACATTTCCAGTTACATGTGACGCCCAAACGCACCAATAGCTACCGCATGGAATGCAGGTGATGCTTGGGATCATCATGGGGGTCCAACCCAAGATTTGCACGACTCTGCCGTTGAATGTTACAGTCATTGTGGCATTGAATTCCAGGGTGGAAACATCAGTTTAATTGTTTTAGTGACCAGAAAACAAATTTTGATATGCGTCGGCTTACCCAAAATGAAAGGTTACGTGCCCTTGGCATGCTACAGATCGGCACAACACAGGCGGTTGTGGCGCGGACGATGAATGTTTCTCAGTCTGTCATAAGCAGGCTATGGTCCAGATACCGTGATACACAATCTGTATAGGACAGACCACGCTCAGGTCGACCAAGGGCGACAACTCAAGCCCAGGATCGATTTATCCGTACCTTGGCCTTGAGAAATCGTGTCATCACAGCAAATCAGATCAGCGCTCGTCTTCAAACAGACACTGGTGTGAGAGTGAGTGGCCAGACGATTCGGAATCGACTGCATAGGGGTCACCTTCGCGCCCGACGTCCTCGCGTGATCCCTTGTTTGAGAGATCATCACATTCAGGCAAGACGTCGTTGGTGTAGGGATCGTCAACACTGGGATAATCGACGCTGGAGCAATGTGATGTTTTCAGATGAGTCAAGGTTCACTGTTGATTTTTTGGACAGACGTAGGAGGGTGTGGCGTTGTCGAAACGAGCGCTTCCAAGACGTTAACGTCATCAGACATGATCGATTTGGGGGTGGTTCTGTTATGGTGTGGGGAGGCATCACTGTTGCTGGAAGAACGGCTTTACATGTTGTTGCAGGGCGTGTTACAGGCCAGTACTACCGGGACAACATCTTGGCAGTCCATGTTGTGCCGTTCACACGACGTCATGGCCGCCGTTTCATCTTCCAGGATGACAACGCAAGATGTCACAGGGCCAGGATCGTTACAGGTTACCTCCAACAACAGAACATCACCACATTACCTTGGCCAGCACTGAGTCCCGACCTCTCCCCCATCGAGCATGTCTGGGACATGCTTGGACAGAGGTTACGTCAACGTCAACAACGTCCTGCCAATGTCCAAGAAGTTGCTGCTGCGTTGCAACAGGAATGGGACAATCTGGACCAAAATGACCTTAGACGTCTCATTAGGAGTATGCCACGTCGGATCAATGCTTGTTTGGCAAACAGAGGAGGATTTACCCGTTACTGACTTGGTTGTGATGCTGTGGTAACTTTGCTGTTTGACCCCGGGTATCATTTTATCCTTATAATGGTCAGTCTGTGCCTTACTTAGTCTAACGATCATTTGGAATAAATCGATGAATGTGAACTTCATTTCATTTTGTCATTTGTTTCTTCGTCAGTTTCATTAGGTGACTTTAATAACACTTAAAAATCAAATATCCCCTACTTTTTTTGAATAGTGTTTTCATTTGTTTCAGAAATCAATTAGTTAAAAGACTCATTAATTTGTGTTATATTTTGTTATTCATCTTATATTAGATATTGATTAGCTCAGTCGGAGCAGAACAGTAGGACGTTAAACCCAATTCATTTCATTTCTTAGATATTGTGCACCATAAAAGAAAACATTAACCAAGTTTATTCTTGAATTATTACGAATCGCTTGAAGTATTATTTTTATTTCAAGTTGTAGTTAAAATCATAAATAATGGAAAGTAACATGCTCTCAGTGTTTGTACTTGTAGATCAATTTTCTTCATTCGGATATCTTGAGTTCTCTTAATTACGTTATCTATTTCTCGAATTGCACATAAATCAGTATATCTTTTCATAAATGAATTATCTATGTTCATTTCTAGTCCCCCAGTACAAGCGAAATATATAATGTAGTACGTTTAATTTAAGAAAAGTTGATTTTAAAGTAAAATTCGAAAATATAATTGTTTCTTTGTCTGCCCTATTAAGAAAATATTTCCCGATTATTATTCAGCGGAAACCTCTAAAGTTAAATATATACTATTCAAAAAAAGTAGGGGATATTTGATTTTGGGGGCATAATACTAAAATATGCAAATGACTACGAAAAAAGTCACTATAGAACCTTACAGAAGAAACATTTCCAGTTACATGTGACGCCCAAACGCACCAATAGCTACCGCATGGAATGCAGGTGATGCTTGGGATCATCATGGGGGTCCAACCCAAGATTTGCACGACTCTGACTTTGAATGTTACAGTCATTGTGGCATTGAATTCCAGGGTGGAAACATCAGTTTAATTGTTTTAGTGACCAGAAAACAAATTTTGATATGCGTCGGCTTACCCAAAATGAAAGGTTACGTGCCCGTGGCATGCTACAGATCGGCACAACACAGGCGGTTGTGGCGCGGACGATGAATGTTTCTCAGTCTGTCATAAGCAGGCTATGGTTCAGATACCGTGATACACAATCTGTACAGGACAGACCACGTTCAGGTCGACCAAGGGCGACAACTCAAGCCCAGGATCGATTTATCCGTACCTTGGCCTTGAGAAATCGTGTCATCACAGCAAATCAGATCAGCGCTCGTCTTCAAACAGACACTGGTGTGAGAGTGAGTGGCCAGACGATTCGGAATCGACTGCATAGGGGTCACCTTCGCGCCCGACGTCCTCGCGTGATCCCTTGTTTGAGAGATCATCACATTCAGGCAAGACGTCGTTGGTGGGATAATCGACGCTGGAGCAATGTGATGTTTTCAGATGAGTCAAGGTTCACTGTTGATTTTTTGGACAGACGTAGGAGGGTGTGGCGTCGTCGAAACGAGCGCTTCCAAGACGTTAACGTCATCAGACATGATCGATTTGGGGGTGGTTCTGTTATGGTGTGGGGAGGCATCACTGTTGCTGGAAGAACGGCTTTACATGTTGTTGCAGGGCGTGTTACAGGCCAGTACTACCGGGACAACATCTTGGCAGTCCATGTTGTGCCGTTCGCACGACGTCATGGCCGCCGTTTCATCTTCCAGGATGACAACGCAAGATGTCACAGGGCCAGGATCGTTACAGGTTACCTCCAACAACAGAACATCACCACATTACCTTGGCCAGCACTGAGTCCCGACCTCTCCCCCATCGAGCATGTCTGGGACATGCTTGGACAGAGGTTACGTCAACGTCAACAACGTCCTGCCAATGTCCAAGAACTTGCTGCTGCGTTGCAACAGGAATGGGACAATCTGGACCAAAATGACCTTAGACGTCTCATTAGGAGTATGCCACGTCGGATCAATGTTTGTTTGGCAAACAGAGGAGGATTTACCCGTTACTGACTTGGTTGTGATGCTGTGGTAACTTTGCTGTTTGACCCCGGGTATCATTTTACCCTTATAATGGTCAGTCTGTGCCTTACTTAGTCTAACGATCATTTAGAATAAATCGATGAATGTGAACTTCATTTCATTTTGTCATTTGTTTCTTCGTCAGTTTCATTAGGTGACTTTAATAACACTTATCCCCTACTCTCTCTCCTGTCTAGGATTATGATTGAAATGTATAATGCTGATAACTTTTGTTTGGTGTACGAATATATTATACTGATGTTTTAAAAAAAGAATTAGTGATGTTCTTGTCATTAATGTTTTGTGACAATGTGTTAATTGGATTAAAAATATGACCAAAGGTCAATTTTTAGGGATCCCCATTAACTCTATTATTTATTATGGTCGTCATTGGACATTATCCATTATGTACCATTTGAACCAAAGATAAACAGTACTAAAAGGTTTTTGGTCGTTCTCCAACTTCAATTAAAAGATAAAAGAAATAACTACGGTAATGCATTTATAATCTATATTTGCAAATGGATGCTATGGATATACCATTTACTTTTGCAACTATTAATTACCATAATCCGTGTAATGTTTGCATGTATTTGTTTTAAATTATAACTGACAATTAGAAAGGTTTATTCATATTTATCTTTATCGTGTCATTCGAAAAGTCGGTAAGCAGTCAACCTTATAGATGTGTTTAGTCTTCCAATGTTATACATTTAGGTCTGCTTGTAGACCAAACATAAATAAATTAATTAAAATATTATTTTGGAACTCGAATATATTCCATGCATTTCGGTATGTCTGTAGACTAAACATAAATTTAATTAAAATATTGTTATTATGGAACTCGAATATATTTACATTGTTAGCATAAATAACACGATTTTTGACATGGTACACCAAGACGATAATAGAAATGATTCATATTAATGGGTACAGTAAATTTATCAGTTCATGTATATCTTAAAAATCCGAACCGACTAATAATATGCTTTCTGTCAAGTCTAATATATGTTATTCAATTTAGGCCGGTTTGTAATTAAAGTTACGATTTTGTTTCGTACGTAAAAATGTGGTCCGTATTTTGTATCTCTTTTTTTCAGTTATTACGCAGCTTCCATAGATTGTATTCATGACGTAATTCAAAAAGATATGTGTCCTGATATAGTACCAATGAAAACTCAGTACTTGACAAAAGTTGGTAATATACAGAAACAAGTAACAGGAGTTTGCACAATCCGTAAGTTGAATTTAGCTGTCTGAAAATGATTATGTCATTATTGATAATCGATAATTTGATCGATAATCTTTGTAGTAAATACATCCTATTGATTGGGATTATCCATAGTATAACCGTAAGCAATTCGAATTTTGTGCATCAGAAAGTTTAACGCATACTGTAGAAATGATTTTAAAAAGCAATATAGTTATTTATTCATAAAATAAGGACGTTTAACCCTATTTCATTTCTTTTATTAATTCATAAAACATACAACATAGGGTCTGTGTGTATGTGGTCTTCAATGGGTTAAAATACTCTACCACTTACTCAATCTTGAATGCCTACTTTTTTTCGAAATGAAGCGCGTGAAAACTCAATTTTATAGAATCCATTTTTGTTTTTTATTGGTAACGGAAGATATATTGGACAATTAGTATTGTTAAAGGCAGACTTGCGCAGACATATTACATCTTTAATGATTGTCTGTTAACTGGCAAGGGGATAATATTATCATAATTAATCAAAACAACTACTTAATGCCATATTTTATTGCATTAACAGGCAACCCCCATTAACACTTACTTTAAACTTTGATTCGATAACAATAACAGGGTTTGGCATTTTCCTATAACTGACTCTGTTACTTATCACAAAATACTACAACAATATATTGTTTGTCTTATGTTTTGTAGATAAAGTATATACAGAACATACAGGTAAATCAATTTATAATATTGAACCCGGTGTTAGTTAGTTCTTTGCATTGTTTCTAAAAAGCAATTTGTAATAAAAAGATTTTTTTTTATCTGATTCAATATAATCATAATTCGGTTCTGTATTGAATGACAGATGGGCGTCAATCGGTAGAAGCTCTAGCTTTATGTGTACGTGCGTTAATAGAAGCCCATTGTTACCAATTAAATGTATTCGTATAGCAAGTTCATTGTTGTTTATTAACAAAACGTGTACTTGGGAGATGTTTAATTTGTATTTCTGTCTTCTTTTTTCAGAACAAACGGATAACAACAGTAAGTGGAATTCCAAATTCTTAACGCAAATAAAAACAAACAAACTCCGATTTCTAAACAAAGAAACTATTCAAAGTCTTGCAATTATTTCTGCACCAAAACAGCTTATGTTTGATTTTAAATATGAAAATGAAAGAAACACACATGAATTTACAATTTATTATTAATGTGTACTGAACAATAGCGTATATTTTATTTTATTATTCGTTTTTTTTTCTTTTTCAGAAAAAACAGATAAAAACAGTAAATGTAATTTCAAATTACAAATAAAACCCGACTTCAAAACAAAAATATTCAATGTCTTGCAATTATTTCTATCAAAATAGCTTATGTTTGATAAGAGTAGAATTTCAAATTACGAAAGACAAAAGAAGCAAAATCGATTTCGAAAATCATGTACAATTTAATATTAACACTGCACTACAAAATAAGGCAGTGACGTATAAGAAACACGTACTTTGAAGACGTATAATTTTTTGTTTTCTCTTTTTTCTTTTTCAGTCCAAAACCCAAGTAAGTCAAATTTCACATTAAAACTAAGTCTATTCCTAGATGACTTTATTTCAAATGAAATGTTTTAAACATGGAGAGAGAGAGAGAAATGTGATTTAACGTCCACTCGACACAAACTAGGTCATTTCGGGACTAACATATGGTTTAATTTTATTTCAATAATTCGCTTGCGCGTAGGGGTCTTTAGCAGTGGGAGGAAACCGGAGGACCCGGAGAAAACCCACGAGGTTAGACAGGCGACCCTACTCCTTGTCACGTACAACCGGGGATTCGAAACCACGCCAGTTGACTCAATGACAGGCTTTATGATAGGGCGCACGTGCTAACCATTCGGCCATCCAACCCCCCCTTTTAAACATGGACAAGATAAACAAAATGTTGACATTTTACTCCTTATACATTAAAACTAAATTCATGCCCACAGATATCTTTATGTCAGTGCTATATTTAGCTGGAAATATCAGCCATTGCTGAAAATATCAATCATTAACCGAAAATATCAGTATTTTGTCTTTAAAGAGGCATTATGGGAGATTAGATAAAGAGTTGACTGTTCTCGTTACAATAGTTAAAAAATAGATAACGTAAATAGAATATGTTAAAAATTTCAGTCAAACTGTCCACTCTGAACCCAGATATTAGCTTTTGATTTTTAAGGCTCGCCTCCATCATCATTACTAAAGTCGGTACGATAAAAACATAGTCTCAATTATCCATTTTTGGATTTAATCATCAAAGAGCATTGAGCAGCAGATCGGATTCTAATCCAGTGAAAATCCGACACATAAGATGGCATCGAGAATTGATTATTGTTTGGATAAGTTAATTAATGTCTAAAGGCCCGGTCCCAGTGGGCGATGGACACAAAACGTATGCAAACAGGACACAGCGGACGAGCAAACTTTCGGGGGTGGCTCCATCCGTTTTCATCCGCTCCAGAAATGGAAAAATTGAAGGGAAAAGAACGAACGTGGGAAGTATGTAGCGGGGATGTTAAATGGATGTTCATCGGAAGCCTAGCTGATGAAAGCGGATGGAAGTGGATGACAGCTCCGAAGGGCTTCTACATACTCTAGGCCAACTCCAGACATCCTTCAATATACCAGATACATCCCAGATACAAACGCTTTGTCCGTTTTGAAAACATTATATACGAGATGCATACGCTTACATCCTTTCTATTTCCGTGCTACTAACGATGTATAGACGTTCCATGTACCTTATCTTTCCTCCTCTTTCCGTTTTCAGCTGCGAGTTATGAGGATGCAGAGAGGATACAGTGGCCGTTTAATGGACGATAACGGACATAGAACGTTTGGTGCTCGTATATGTCGCGCATTTACATCGTACACGGCAGAAAGTTCATCCTTTATAAAAGTTTTGTGCAGCTCAAAACTTTTTGCGCGAATGAAATCAAAGTGAACGGATGCTCGATGGATAGAGCGTATGAAACACGTATGCAATGAGTACACAACGGATGCATGGCGTTATCAAACGGAGGGCAAGTTGTTTTTCCCGTTTTACATCCTCTTTGCATCCGTAAGTGCAGTGGGACGGGGCCTTAATTTACAGTTTATATAACATTTCAGGCCAGGTCTACAAAAAGACCTGCCATAGGCAGATTTAGCTCTTACATAATGTATGTTTAAGTGAAAAATATGAGTCTTAAAGTGAAAAATATGAGTCTTAAAGTGAAAAATATCAGTCTTTTGTCTGAAAGTGAAAAAATGCCAGTCTTCAAAGTGAAAAATATCAAGTGTTTTAAAGTAAAAAAATATCAGTCGTCAAAGTAAAAAATGTCAGTCTTTAACTGAAACATATCTTTGTATTGTCTAATTGAAAAATATCAGTCTTAACTAGAAAATGTTAGTGAAATGTTTAACTGGTAAATTTCAATCTTTAACTGGCAATCATTAACTGGAACTATCAATCATATCTGGAAATACTAATTTTTGGCTGGGAATATCAGAAATAACACATAACACAATTATATGGAATACAAGTTACTTTAAGAGATAACCATTTAGAAACCACCAAGGGATGGGAAGCCATAAGGGTTGGGTAGTAATAAATATCAGTAATATCTTTAACTGTAAAATGTTGGTGATATATTTAACAATCAACATACACATGTATAGATGAAGTTTGGTATATAAACGTAAAATCTTTGATTAAAGTAACATTGTGAGTACTCACAGCTCTTTAATCTTGATGTATTTGTATCGTTTCAGCCGGTGGGTCAAGTCAACTAAACTACGGATTGGTAGTACTGGTATCGTTTCTTATAACTAGCATCTGGTATTAAAACAAAATCGCAAGAACTGTTTACCACAACTTTGATATGCTAATAACACATTACCACAAAATTGCTCTTCGGGAAGAAAATATCAGTCTATTATTTTGCAATGGGTCTTGATTTGGAAATAAATCTTTTATTAGGCTAATTGCTCTTTATTGATTTAAGCCTGAATTACATGTCTTAGGTTTACATTTTATTTTCTATAAATTTAGTACAGCTTTCACTTATATGGCTATTTATAATTAATAATGTGTTATTATTATTTTACCGTTTTGTCATATGCGAGGATATATTGGATACAGTATTTATTCATTTCAATACATTTGGTGTTCATAAACAGGGTCAAGTGTATAAAATTGTGGTATTAATGTTTTGAGATTGATCATCTTTGAATGTGGCAAGTATAGTATAGTTTGTAATGGACTATTTTTTTAATTGATTAGAAGATTCATTAAATATCTTACACTTACATGAATGTTATTTACCATATATTTAATACTCATCAACAGTGAATACACAAAATGCTCGTATCTAAAGATTTGACACAAGAATTTTGCATTTGGTCTTGTTTGAGAATGGCTAATACAATCTGTTACTAAATGATGAATTATAAGTACCTAACACTTACAACGTGACTCTTCTGGACTTATCTCGACGTGGGGCATGTCGGAGTCGATCTGTTCCTACCGAAAGTTGGAATCGAGGGGACGGTTTATCCTAGTTATGTTTATATAGTTCGGTACTTTGAAATTGTAAGCGTTCCCCAGGAGACTAAATTATTCCTGTATGGATTTATGTTGCCTGCCTGTTATCATATGTATGGACAGTTTTTCTATGACATATGTTGAATAACCTATCATATGTTTATATTATTCCCGCTTTGAAAACAATGGGAATATACGTTTGTAAATATCAAAACATTTTTTTAAAAATTAAATCTAATATATTTTAGTTTATATTTTAATGCTTTGTATATTCTGTAAATAACTGAACCGGATTTCATGTAAATTCTTTTCTATACCATTATTATACGATTAAATTACAGCAAATAAAAGCATCAATGGATTAAATATTTTACTTTGTAAATACATATACTTATTTTTATTATGTATGATAATATGCAACGTATATTGACATATTGACATTTATTTGTTAATGTTTCCCTATAAAGAAGTATACCTTTTGGTGTAAATGCAGTATAACACTTGTAGGTGTATAACTTACCAAAAACATCATTTAATGTCCGCAATCACAACCATTCGTCGTTTCAGTTGTCAGGAGTATTAGATATACTTGGTGCAGTCCATTTAGATGGTTATATATTTAAAGGGAGTATCCCGATTTTAACAGTCTCAAAAATAAAAGTCCGAGTATGTATGAAATTTAAACTCCAAAATATAGAGGAATGATGTATTTACCTTGTCTCAAAATATCAGCCCAAAATATTGAGTCGTTTGGTCATAAACGTCAAAACTGCTTATCCGGACACGTAACCCTTTTAAGATTTCGGTTCAATTTCTTTGTTGGGTGACCTGATAATCGATTCCTATTCATTTAGAGGTCTATACAGGGAATGATCCATCGGCTGTACTTGATAACGAAAGGTAAATTTCACCTACACATTATTTTTATAAAATAAAAGTCTGGTTTTATCCAGACACCGTATAATACAGCTTAGAACACAGGTCTCCATTTCCAGATAAAGACTGATGGGTTTAAGTTGTTTGAAAACGTATCACAAATATTGTGTTAGTTGCTCGGCCCTTAGGTAGAGGGTTTTAAAGGATTTTAACTCAAAATTAAGCAGTTTTATTCTCCAAGATATTATCGGGATTGTCCCTTTAAACCGGGAAATGGTCCCTAACGGCTACTAATCTTTTTGTTGTTCTTCGAAGCAAGGCCTAATGCTCCGTCAATTCATTTACGATCGACATGAAGCTTCCATATAAGCGATTTATAACTCTGTCACAATATATGGATAACCTTGCTGAGACGTGCATTTGATCCCATCGCAAGATCTGTGTCACACCATTGCATGTTTTGTCTACGAATGTCCACAGTGGCCCACGAGTTGTAATATTGCAAAATATCGTCCTAATGCCGCTGTCACAACATTGTGTACGAATGTCCACCATGGCACACTATTTCAAAAATCGTGCTAATTGCTTCTCTTATAAGTTAATGCCAGGTCCCCACTGCCGTGCGATGGTTACAATGTGATACTACGGCCCGTGATACTAGGGTGACACTATCGTCTAGGGCTTTCTTTGACTTCACGCTGTGATCAATTAACTGTGGAACACTTTTTACGTTAACTATGTTTTTATATCTTTATAAGATCCATAATACAGGAAACTATATACACAGCTGTGGCATTAAATATAAGCTAAACATAAGCTAACTATAAGTTCTCTTTCCCCAGCTTGTGTTTACTAGATTACGATTAACATCATTCTCTTTACCCCACCATTTCGTAGGACAAGTTTACTGACGATACCCCTCAACATCATATGGCTCTCCTACGACTTAACGGGGTGGTGTAATCCAAGTAGTGTCTAAATGATGTCCGAATGATTTTTGTTGCCCTGCCTCTCAGCCTAGGAGGCTGTGGGTATGATCTTCCGATTTCGGATCGCTTTATGATATCCGAAGTGACTTCAACCGCACACGTTCTTTATAAAGAGGTTATGTGCGTGAGTCATGTATTGAGCCCCGGGAAATTGACCAGGTGCTTCCATTATCAGATTGGTCAGCTTCACAGACGCTACCTGGATTTCAATCAACACAGTGCACCTATATGGGCACCTAGGAGGGCGGCTAGCCACGTTTCTAACGCATGGGATTACCATTATTTGGATTATCAGACTTATCCTTGTTAACCTAGTTCTTGTTGTCACTGGTACTTGCTAACGACTTCAATACATTAACCAGAACATTTTACAGAACTTAAATAAACTCTGTATATAGGCCCTATTATAACAATAGGATTGTCCCTATTGATTCCACGATCTGCTACGTGCAAATATATTCAGATATGTTTCAATACGGTCAACACGATTGCTACCACTGGCCTCAATATATGATAAGACCTGATAAGATCATCACGATTACTCCTTGATTAAAACCACGATTTCAATCATAGCACGAATCGTTATAGTGGGAACCTAGCATTAGACAGTACACGACGATTGGTCCATACACGATTTGGTATTGTTCAGTATGGCAGATTTACGACGCAATACGACATATAAAAATCGTATGATAAAGTACGACAGTTTTAAAAAGTTTAAAAGTTTAAAGCGCATGTAGATTAGATCAATCAAGACCATACAAGAAGGAGTACAAAGCACACGAATACCAGTACGAATATAGACTGTGGTTCAAAATGGTCATATCGTAGGGGAACAGTAGCGAAATATCGCACTAGTGTGACAGGGGCTTACCAAATACAAATTAGATTCGTTTTAGGTTTCAATTTTCTGTTAGGGACATTGGAAAATTTACAATTACATCGATGTCCACTTTGCTAGAAACATTCGAGAAAGCAAGTCCAGTATTGAGTCTATGCAACCAGTCTTACGAAAGTGAATTAAATCTATAAAATATAAATTTATATAGGGATATCTAATTGTATATTGTGTATATAAATCCATTGCTTCACAACAAGAGAATCATTACTGAAACCTTACTCCAGCTAAATTCAGTAATTATTTTCCACAAATGGTTGGTGTTTTATTGAATGTTACTAACTACTAAACTGCCTCTTAAATCTATGCATTGTCCTACAAATGGTTTGTGTTTTATTGAACGTCACCAATTAATAAAATGCCTCTTAAATCCACGCATTGTCCTACTTAGAGTAGGCTAAGATAGATACCTTCAGCAACCATTCGTCAAACTCAATGAAACGCACTTAAAGAACTTGTACGACTGATAGAAAACGTTCATATCTGACCAGTGTCTCAGAAGGTGTTTTAGAGTTTGCACACAGCCCCTTAAGAACATGCACAATGTACCTGTATAGTCAAATCACGTCAAGTCGATCTTTTTTTAAATAACCTGCAAAGAACTCCAAAGCACCTTAACTTATGCAGTACCACAAAAAAGGGGTTAGACCACTTTTTTTCTATGACTATACTCGTTTTAGTGTCATCGTTGTAGTTTATACCCTTTAATTTCAATACGCAACACGAATCGATAGACAACAATCCATGCAAATTGACAAGAATTGGCTTGTGGAGATCTTCATCGCCAATCGAAATTATTAGAGAATAATAAATGTGTTTCCGTGCAGACTACGGTTTTGATAATGTACGCAAGTGTCCTTGACGGGACAAACATTTTACAAGTAGTGCAACGTACGTATTGCCTTTGTTGATTTTTATATATTTTTTGCCATAAACATGAAAAGAACAATTGATTAAACAGAAATGTGTTCTGTATTGATTTTTCTGTATCCATTGAAAATGCTTCTGGATTGTTCAATATGCTCTGTATGTGTAGTTTCCATGGATAAATTTTACGCCTCAAAAAAGATTTGATTGTCGTGAACAGATCAGTGTGTCTTAACCTGCAGATGAACTAAACACCAAAGCTGATACGCCAGTTCCATATTAAGGCAAATGTGGACTAAATGTATTAAAGTTTTCAAAAGATAGTTTAACTCAAAAGGCGGGATAAGTTTAAAACTTAAAAACCCTTGTTTTCGGATTGATAGATGCTATTAAAATCGGCAGAGAAACCATACTGAAATAGTATTGCGGGTTGGTTCTAAATTTCAAATGGTAGCATATTTCGATAGTGTTCATTTTGATTTCGAGAATATAATTTAGCAAATTATCTTGAGATATTATGTTGTATTGTAGAGTTTTACAGAAGTTTCTGTTCTAAAGTGCGGATATGTTGGCTATAATTTTAACAGGTAAGAATATTTTAAGTATTTTTCTTTTAAAAAGTTATTACTTTGGAGTAAAGGTTGGTCTCGCCCGAAGCGATAGTGTACATTATCTACGGATGTTGTCAATTTCAATAGGCCACCTACCTCTACTGCACAAAAGCGTGACACACAAAAAAGGTTCACTAATACCCGGCTTCCACATGGGCTACGAATGCCACGAATCTCCCCGAATCCAAACTTTTTCCGATTCGCAGATAAGTCGTAGACGTTTCTTGAAGTTCTTAATGCTAGGTTCCCACCGTCGTGCGATGTGTTGCGATAGGATTGTCCTTATTGAGTCCACGTATAAAGATACGTTCGGATACGTTTCGATACGTAATGATAAGATCTGATAGGATAACCACGATTACTCCACGATTTCAATCGTAGCTGAATCGTGATAGTTGGAACCTAGCATTAGTGATTTTTTAAACAAAACCTTTCGTGTCTCCTTTTATGGGCTACAAATGGCACGAATCGTCTCTAATCGAAAAAAATTCCGATTCGTAGATAAATTATAGACGGCGAGTGATTCTTATTTGGTTCTTACATATTCGCATTGAGCAGTTCGTAGTTCGGTCACGAAAGTTTTTGTTTGTCAATTCGTAGATGTATCGTAAACCCGTCGTAGCTCTTCCTATTCGATTTATTGATGAATAGTGTCAAATATTGTAATTTCGCCCTAAGTGGGTAAGGCGCTGGCTCGCTAGCCTGGAGGTCGGGTGTTCGATCCCTGCATTGGCCGAGAAAGTTCATCCAGACTTTCCGGCGTGGTTCCCCCTTGTCAGTGATGCAGGACGGAGGGCCTGGCAAGGACAGCTGTCTAGTCATTCGGATGAGACGAAAAACCGAGGTTCCGCGTACACATTGGCGTGCACGTAAAAGATCCCTTGACAGTTGGAATTCGATATAAGAGTAGGCCGTAGTGCCGCTGTCCGGGCAAAATTTCCCTCATAGCACACTGTATGGCGTATGCCCGTCTTCATTAGCCCAGTTCGGAGCAAAACAGTAGGACGTTAAACCCCATTTCATTTTCATTTCATTTTGTAATTTCGCCACTATTCGGGGCTATATTCGTAGCATTCGTAGCCCACGTGAAAGCCGTTTCTCATTGGAAAGATTTTCCGATTCGTAGATAAATTATAGACGGCGGGTGATTCTTATTTGGTTCTTACACATTCGGATTATAGCAGTTCGTAGTTCGGTCACGAAAGTTTTTGTTTGTCAAAAGGTTGGGTGGGCGGTCGGAATTCGTAGATGTATCGTAAACTCGCCGTAGCTCTTCCTATTCGATTTATTGACGGATAGTGTCAAATATTGTAATTTCACCAGTATCCGGGGCGATTCGTAGCATTTGTAACCCACATGAAAGCCGTTTCTCATTTGAAATTGTTTTATTTAGATAGCACTGATGCTTTACACTATTTTTGTGACTGTATTTTTGTAGTAAACGTAGTAGAGAACGCGTACATTACCTTTAACAGTTTTAAAACTGCTATTAACAAATAAGGTTGGCGGCATCAGTGTTTTGGGTGTCTTTTGCGACTTTGGTCTACAGCATTTTGATAGTTTTTATTAATGTTTTGCGGCTGAATCATATACTGTTTGTTCTATATTCAATAAATTAGGCTACATTGTATATATAATCGGGGGTTGGATGGCTGAATGGTTAGCACGTGCGCGTTGTATCATAAAGTCTGTCATTGAGTCAACTGGCGTGGTTTCGATTCCCCGGTTGTACGTGACAAGGAGTAGGGTCGCCTGTCCAACCTCGTGGGTTTTCTCCGGGTCCTCCGGTTTCTTCCCACTGTTAAAGACCCATACACGCAAGCGAATTATTGAAATAAAATTAAACCATACGTTAGTCCCGAAATGACCTAGTTTGTGTCGAGTGGACGTTAAACCCCATTTCTCTCTCTATATATATATAATCATAGATATATTTTCCAGAAAATGGCTGTCCCATGTTGATATTTTGAATGTCTGCTACCTTGACAATTAAATTCTGTTCTTTGTTTTATATTTAAAATATTGTTTATTTTATTGAACACGGGAAGGAAGTATTTATTCAGCTTCTTATTATATTTAATTTGTTTGCCAATGCAATGTCAATGAAACAAAACGAGACGTATAGACAACTGAGCATATTATCGAGCAGAATGTTTTCGATTAGGACGTATTGGCCATACAATTCGAGCTCTGTATGACCAAATTACAATTCAAACTGTTTTCAATTTTACCTAATACAATAAACTATTTAAAACTTTGTTTGACAAGTCTGTAATTAAAGTGGAAATATCTGTAATTAAAGTGGTATAAATCTATTTTGGATCGACTTCGACAATGATTTTTAAGACGAGTTGCCTCGTAGACTCCTTTTGAATTGTTAAATACACTGCCTATCAAGAACATCAATTCATTGGATTTACGTTTTTTGGTGAAAATAGGTCTTATAGATCTGCTCTGAACGATGATTATTTACATATGTTGATGATTATGCTACTTATAGTCTATGGAAATGCCCTACTTTTCTGCACTGACCGGGCTAATGAAGACGGGTATAGTTTCTTGGTGTATTTAATAACATATATTCATATAAATCGTGACTACCCCACAAATTCACCACCCGGCTGGTTTTTAAATGTAAAATAGCTTACTGACGCTAAAGCAGTCTACTGCGCCATGGAGGAGCCAGAAGACCATTTTATACCAAACAACATGAACAGCTAGGAAATTATCCGAATTTAACAATTTAATAATTTTATAAAACGGAGAGAACCATGCTGTTAATATCAAATTCTTGTAGAACATATAAATTTTCTAAACTAAAAGATGCAGCACCCAATTTGTATCCAGACCGATTTATTGGGCATGCGAAATTGAAAAAAAAATGTTTAGGATTGGCAGATTTGGCTCCATAAAAGACAGTGCACTTACGTAATCACCTTAGAAATTGTCATTTGACCATTCGGAAGTATCCCTGCTTTTCCTTAACTGAGTGACGATGTGTTTATAAAGGTACACGATGTCATTGTAAATATTACCAAGTATAAATTATGCATGCTATATAAAACAAGTGGTATGAAATTCAAGACAAATGTAGTGTGCCAAATAAATAATTCAGTACAAGCTTTACCCGACGGGTAAGCGGTAATCTTCAGCTTGTAACAGATCGAATGTTTACTTGAAGCTAGACCTCGTTGAGGTGTGTCTATGGCCGAATGGTTTAACGTGTGTCCGTTTGATCATAAGGTCAGTAATTGGGTCAAATGGTGTGGTCTCGCTTCCCCGATTGTACGTGACAAGTAGTAGGGTTGCCTGTCGAATTTCATTTTTTTCTTTTTCCGGGTCGTCCGATTTTCTCCAACAGCTAAAGACCCCTGCGCGCAAGCTAATTGTTGAAATAAAAACACAGTCATGTTAGTCCCGAAATGACCTAGTTTGTTTCGAGTGGACGTTAAATCCCATCTCCCCCTCAGATTGTAAACCATAGAAAATACCCAAAACATAACTTGCTCGACACGAGTCAATAGATGAGATTACAGGGATGGAAATACTAAAATTGAAATGGGAATTGTAAAGAAAAAAAACAAATAGTCCAACGCTACCGATTTAAACTAACCCAAATATGCGTATCTATTGTATATATGTTACCATAACATTGTCAAATTGCGAGTTCTGTGAAATCCCGGTACATTTAAGCAACTTTATAAGAAAAAATACGTTTAGCTATACGTAATGTATTCCATAATTTCGTAAAGTCCTTGGAGGTTCTAGAAATTGCATTACTGTAAGTGGAAAATCTAAATAGTTAAATAGTGTACTAGTTAAATGACTTGTCAGTGGATTGCAGTGGTTTGATGATGTCCAGAGCCGGCTTCTTGACTGAATGACCACAGGATTCAATCATAGAACCTAGAACTGACAAATGTGGGAAGGGGACATTTTAAATAAGTAAAAGCAGACCATATAAACTTTTATTAAAATTAAGTAGAATGGCGTGTACAACAAAGTTAACAGCGACAATTTCAAATTATAAAAATAATCAATTTAATTTCACTCTTTCATTGTACTACAACCTCTGCCTTTCTGAAATAAATGCCCAGGGATCTGAACAGTTTTTCAACCTAGCAATAGATTGGCCATTTGTTTATTTTCAACAATTAGTGAAACGTAATATATTAGTCTATATTTATATGGAATAACACAATAGCTTATTGATGTTCCCTGTTGGTTTTGGAAGACAATATGTATTTGTACTTTCAACGCACTGGTAATAAAATGTTCTAACAACCGAGTCAAAATTATCAAACTCGATAATCTTTGTAATATTCTAAAATGATTTACCAGAGTTCACAAGTGATAATAATGTGACTAGACCATCACTCTTATTTCTGTTCAAGTACTCCACAACAAACATAGACATTGTCTACCTCATCATCAGAGTTATTACTATTCAAACTTTCTGTTCATTCTTCAGTCTGTTATTTTGATCCTTCTTCAGGCTGTTCTTTTGATCCTTCTTCAGACTGCCCTTCTGATCCTCCTCCAGATTGTTCTTTTGACCCTTCTTTCGACTTTTCTGTTGATCTTTCTCTAGACTGTTCTTCTGATCCTTCTTCAGGCTGTTCTGCTGAACCTTCTTCCGACTATTCTTCTAATCCATCTTCAAACTGGTCTTCTGACCTGTTTTTCTGATTATTTTGCCATCAGGGTTCAGATTAGAATTTAAACATTTCTGGCGTGCTTGTTAGACCCACGCTTTCAGTTTACATTGCCTTTGAGATTAGATAACCATACTGCAATATAATTGGTATTTATACTAGCTCCACTGTTATGATTACGTGTGATAACCCAAACTCCATAATCGCTAAATGTGTTAAATTACCTGAATTCAAGAGCCACGCACCTCCTTTCTGAAGCCTTCAAAACTTCTGGAATGAGTACATGCTTGGACAAAGGCTTGCTGAGGCAGGTTAACATTTAAATAAAAAAGCTGTTACCATGATCCGCATCCCCAATATCAACACTTATTATTGCTCACATCAACAATGCCCCTTCAACGTGATATTTTGTGAATCTATATACAAATGCATACCCGTAACAATTCTTTATCCACTCGGTTGTAAAAACAATTGATTAAACAACATTAACAATATTCAAGTGAAGTTCAGACCACTGCGCCCGTTATTTGATATCCTTCGGTAGTGCAGAAGGGGGGGGGGGGTAGGAGAACGTTTCAAAGATATAAGGCATCGAATAAAGTTGACTATTGTGAAAATTCCTTGTTATTTGGGATTTTCTAATTCTTATAAAGGCATTATAATGACTCTTATTTAATCAGATTTATTCGTATTTAATTATAATCCTACCCATGCGTCAATTGACGTTTTCTTGAATAGTGAAGCAGCACAAACTTATCAGTCTCGGATCTTTTCATCTGTGTACTATAATGTATATTAGAATAACCTTTGGGGGAATAATTGTTATCGCAGAACACCCCAGTCATTTTGGAAATATAATTTTTAAGAAACTTGCCGTGTACTTAAATTAATATCGTTCTCGGGTAATACTCGATGTACCTAAATCTAGTAGGTTCATAATATACAGTATATTACTATATTATATGAAATCACGTACTTGTGTACCGGAAATAATGGAGATGAAACTGTACAAATATAAAACAAAACAAACAAGCCCATAAAATGATAAAATTATTTCGGATCATTTCTGAGATCTTGCAATAAAGCAGCACCAGAAGACTATCAGCATCCAGCGTAATAAACCTACATTTAATGTCCATCTCAGTAGTTCAGTTTTAAACCCCAATCCCACCCATCACTTTGAGTTATTGTTTCTCTATGGTTCCGACCCGATTATTTTCCCATTAACAGTCTTAATGATATTATATCATAATCAAATATCTTAAGTAGTGCCACTCTTTGAAGTTATCAAGGCGTTAAGTTTTAAATGTTTTTCATTGTTAATGTTGCATATACTGGATCTAATTGATTACCGACTGTTCCTTTTATTTCTATCTCATAGTTACACGGATATAATTGATCATTAGGTCTCTCGAGAGTTGATCCTTCGCTGGTAACAAGGAATATTCGATGCGCTGCTTCATAAAGAAGAACTTATCATCAGAATTAATCAACTGTTCGACCAGTTTGCTTTATCGCGAATAGCACTGACTTTTGAGTAGTGCCGGCTAAACACGCAAACACCATGTTAACACATAATCTCACATGTATTAATATATTACTATTCTCACACAATTAAAATGTGTCGTGCCTTATTCAAAACATCTTAAGGTTATTAAAAAAAACCTAGATTTTAAGACTAGGCTTGATGTTTACTAAATTAAGTATTCGAACTCAATTAAAAGATGTTTACTAATATAATAAGTATTAAACATCAATTAAAGGATGCTACTAATATAATAAGGTGTTTACTAACATATAACTCAATTAAAGATTGCTTACTAATATAATGAGGATTCGAACTCAGTACAAGGATGTTTACTAATGTTATAAGTACTCTAACACAATCCGGTTTCCTCCCACTGCTAAAGACCCCTACGCGCAAGCGAATTATTGAAATAAAATTAAAACATATGTTAGTCCCGAAATGACCTAGTTTGTGTCGAGTGGTCGTTAAACCCCATTTCTATCTCTCTCTCACTCTAACTCAAATAAAGGATGTTTACAAATATAATAAGTATTCTAACTAAATTAAAAGATGTTACTAATATAATAAGTATTCTTACTCAATTAAAAGATGTTACTAATATAATAAGTATTCTAACTCAATTAAAAGATGTTACTAATATAATAAGTATTCTAACTCAATTAAAGAATGTGAAAGTACTGTATAAAATATGTGTATAAGATTGAAAATAAAAATTCAGAAACACAAAATCGCTCAGTAACATTTGAATCTTTGTATCATCTATATTATCATCCAATATTCGGCAAATGTTCGGTAGTTTCACTACTGCTCAATGTGTTTAGCTTAAATATCCTTGATTGAAGTCAAAAATAAAATTGTCGAGTGTACTGGATTTTATGTTGACTTGCTTCGTGGGATGACACCCTGTCCAAAATTGAATCGGATATAACGAAATAACACACCAGACCGACCAAATTCAATAATTTATTTGAACTTATATAAAGGGATTTATCCAGTGATGTCGTGGTAATTATATAATGACGTATTCCCTCCAAATCGTAATCACCTGAGAAGCAAAGCCCCTATATAGAATTTAAGTGAATCTAAGACTCCTACATACTAAAAAATGGTTTATTTAAAATATAATTGTCAAACTTGATACAGAAAAATTTCATTGGCTACAAACTATGTGGGCGATGCCGACAGTCGAACACCTTTGACTACAACCCTGGGTGCAATTGCTATAAAACAACAAGATGAAACTAGATTTCGGATAACCGACGGGAAACCAATAGTATGTACAAAGGAAGGGAGCGGGATAACATCGGTTATTTAATTACACCTTTAGTATGGTTAAAATAAACACATGCCTTATTTTCTTTTGTCTAGGATTAATCTATATTTTTTTCAGCATTGGTCCTTCAAGAAAAGATACAATGGTCATTTCAACAAGGTAATCAATAATAATAATAACAACCTTATAATGTATAACAATTAAATTAGTTAATTGAAACGTGTAAAAGCTCACTGTTTGGTAAAATCCTGTAACATTAGTTATATTCCGAAACTACTAGTAAAATTTTGCGTGTAAATGTTTATACAATTATAATGTTTTTGGTGAAAGAAAACTACCAAATTTGTAAATCCAACACAAAATTGCCGGCAGCTTTAGCATAAAGTTTACACTGCAGTGGTAGTCCAATCCATGAAAATTCTAGGTTTTTTCATAACAGCATAATTATCGCTTTATGCCTTGCTTTTGTAGACTGAGCCTGGAGAACGAAACTCAGATCTTCGCCCTAAGTTTCCATAATGATGGCATCCAAAAACGCGTCATTGGTACTTCTTTAGCAACGATACCACCTTTCAGCGAATTTTTGAAATAAAATTGATCCGTATGTTTATCCCGAAATGATCTATTTTGTGTCGAGTGGACGTTAAACCCCTTTTCTCCCTCGCTGCCTTTCGAGTAGTAGGACCCAAACGCGTCATTGGTGTAACCTGTCGATTCTTTAGTATCGATAAACAAAAGAAACGGGGACGACCCCTGAGCCAGTAGGACGCGGTCAAGTACTCTTCTCCACCCGATTCAATGTTAAATCTAGAATTATCTAGAATGAATGAAATGAAATAGGGTTTAGCGTCCTACTGTTCTGCTCCGAACTGGGCTTATGAAGACGGACAGACGCCATAGAGTGTGCTATGAGGTAAAATTTGCCCGGACAGAGGCACTACGGCCTACTCTTATAGCGAATTCCAACTGTCAAGGGATTTTTACGTGCACGTCAATGTGTACACGGGACCTCGGTTTTTCGTCCCGCCGGAAAATCTGGATGAACTTTCTCGGCCAATGCAGAGATCCAACACCCGACCTCCAGGCTAGCGAACCAGCGTCTTATTACCCACCTAGCCAACGTGCCCCCCTCCCCCCCAGAATGAATGACTTCTGATACATAGTTAATGGTACGTAGTTAATGGTATTGAAATTAAAGGGAGATCACTCACAATTAGCAATTGGATTAAGACTAACAATTCTCTACCACTCCCAGGATCTTAATCTTTATAACCACACATAGCCCACAATGGTGCAGAACGGAGGCATGACTAGAAAAACTGAGGTCCCGCGTGGACGTAAAATGAAAATAAAACGACATAATTAATGACATGAATAAGAACTGCATACACGTTAAGTTGACTTTAACAGGAATTACCAATGCAATTAAGTTTGAACAATATCACATTTAAACACAGGACACAATTGACAGCACAAAATATTGTCAATTCACGTACTGGAACATTGATCATAAAGCTATTGGTAGAAAAATATGTTTAAAATATTATTTGATTGCACTATTACATGTACATGTGCGTATAAGCCAAATCAATTTAAGCCCTGTCAGTAGACAATCTGGTTAAAACACAGATCCTATTTCGTTTCGTTTTTATAGTTCAAAATTCGTTTTACTTGTCTTTACTACACTTGGATCTGGAAGAGGTGTTATTTAACTCGTGTTCTGAATGGTGTCAGGGATAAGCCAATGAAACGGTCTGTTACGGCGAGCTTTCGGCGTGTTTTTCACGGAACTGTGGGTAATCCACTAGTAACATCAATGCTGATTGGTTAATCAAATGTCTGACGTCATAGGGTCATAGGTCGGTCTTTTGACCCCTGACGTGACCTATCGCTATAATTTGTCAGATCTTCATGTAGTGTAGGCCATCGAAAGTATAAAAAAAAACGAAACGAAATATAGATCTGTATTTTAATCAGATTGTGCCAGTAGATTGCATTTGGTTTAATTTTCATTAAAATGATAAGTAATTGTTCAATTATTTACATCAGACGTAATATTTGTCATTTCTAGTAAATCCTGGATATATTATGCCATACACTAGTAGAAGTGTACATGGTAACTATCGGCGTGTATTCAAATAAAAAATGGACCAATTTACTATGTTATTTATTAATTACACATACAGATTTTAAAAGCAATATTATCAATGATACGAGATTTGGGGATATAAAGGATGGCAAGATATATTCGCCGAATAGAAGATATCGAAGAGAAAGTGGAAATTCCCTGCAACTCGAAACCGTATCTACTGGTAGGTTTAACGTCTTTATATAATGAATAGAAGCAATTAAGAAAAGTGTTGATTTATCTAAAGGATTCCTGAATGCTAATCCATACTGTGGACGTATGTATTCCCCCCTGCCTCCCTTTAAAAAGTACAACACATGTTAGTAATCTATGTGAATTTATCAGATGAGAAGAGATTGTTTAATATAGGCTATACCTGTTCCCCAATTTCTATCCAGATACAAATCTGAATGAAAATATTATTTATATAAAAAAAAAAGTAAAAAATTATATTAACATCTCCTTCTATTTTATCTTTTGTTAACAACCCACCATCGTTGGTCAACAGGCATTTCTTTAATGGGTCTATTTACATGTAGTAAAACGTATCTAATTATCATTTCCGTTACTGGCCTTCTTGGCTAATCCAGTGGGTGTCTGCAAACGACATGGCATGCGTAAGACCATTTCCGCTTCAGAGCGGATCATTCACAATGGTCTATAAATCGAACAACACCTCTAGCATTTTAAAATATATATATTTATATGGAGTAACAATTACTGATTTACAAACATACAACATATAAACAATGGTCCCCATGTTTTTATCAAGTACAATTTTTTATATTGGCTAGATCTACATTCAGTATTCTATCTGTCGTTGTGTTAGATCTACATTTAATATTTTATCTGTCGTGTGCTAGATCTACATCAAATATTGTACCTGTCGAGTGCTAGATGTACATTCAATACATTATCTGTTGTGTGCTAGATCTGTCATGTATTCAACATTTTACCTATCGTGTGCTAAACATGCATTAAATATTATATATGCCGTGTGCTAGATGTACATTCAATATTTTACCTGTCGGGTGCTAGACATATATTCAATAATTTACCTGTCGTGTACTAGACCATCAAATTCTTGAACAGTACGATAGTTGCATATTTATAAACCAGTAATTGTCATTCCATATAACATCAATTACTAAATGCTATTCGAAGAAGTACCTCTAGCATCTAAATCAGGGCAAATGTCTGTTTTGTTAACTTTACTAGCCCAGAAGGTGAGAGCTGTCACCGTTAGAACACACGAACGATCACCTTAACAGATTCCTCTAGTGCAGTATAAAGGTGATATACAAAATGTTTTCTGTCTCCACTTGATCATTAGAAGGTTCTGTCTGAAGTGCCAAAAACAGAAATGATTTTAAACATGCCATATTAGAAACATAAATTATTCTAAACATGTCATACTAGAAACAAGAATGATTCTAAACATCGTACACTAGAAACAGGAATGTTTCTAAACATCACATTCTAGAAACAGGAATGTTTCTAAACATCATATTATAGAAATAGGAATGATTCTAAATATCTCATCCTAGAAACGGGAGCGATTCTAAGTACCCCATACTAGAGACAGAAATGATTCTAAGCATCCAATATATAGGAACGCAATTGACTTTAAACATTTAATACTAGAAACACAATTGATTTCAAACATGACATACTAGAAACTACAACGGATTTCAAACATGACATACTAGAAACTACAACTGATTTCAAACATGACATACTAGAAACACAATTAATTTCAAACATGACATACTAGAAACATAATTAATTTCAAGCATATTATACTAAGTGTGCATATATTTCAGTATGTGTAAAGTTGGATGCGTGTTTAGATGACTTAAAAACAGTTATAACAGGCACAGACCTGCAACTATTCGGAACATCTTGCATGTAAGACTTATCATTATATTTGAGAAACAATGTTTTCTATTTTTCAATTTTAACTGACTTCACATTGTAAAACGATGTAACCAAAATCAAAAAGTTCATAAAGAAACGTAAGTAGACTTCCAAAATGAAATAGCGGTTTTAACGTCTTGCTTTCTAAATAAAGCGGAATAATAAAGACCGCATGCAGTGGGCGGAAACGAGGCTATCCGAGCAAAATGTCCCCCATAGCACAATGCATGACGTATGCCCTTCTTCATTATTCCGGTTGGCACAGAAAGTAGGACGTTAAACCCCATTTCATTTCAAACATTTTAAATTTTCGACAAGAGCTATTACGTCAATATTCGTTAGTTGTCAATTTCATCAGTGAAAGCCGTACCAAGTACAAAATAAATAGCACAATTATATTTATTATTATTATAAAGTTTTTCTTTTTTTCTTTTTAAAGTTCAACCGTTTGATATGCGGTAACGAACATAATAATGTCTTATGTTTCACGTTTATCTAATTTCAGACCTATAGTAAACCAACTGATGTGTATGCATAATGTCATTGAGACGTCTGCAATTTGCTTAGACTTAAGATTCTATTTTCAGGCATCTTATAAACTAGACATGATGTCTATACAATTAAAACTATTCTGTAGAAGTGAGTATACCTAGTTTATGTATTTCAAATTCAACTACTTGTCTGGCTTTGCATACCAATTCAAACTGTTTAAACATGGGATCGCGGTGTTGTTACATGTGCAATTGAGTTGGGTCGGGCGGGCAGCGTCGTGTCCGCCTGCTGGCATAGGATCGTTTAGTTTACGCAATTTACCCACGTATGGTAGACTGTGTAGCACCATAGGTCTTTCTGTCTGACGGGGAGAGCGGGAATTCCAAAAACTGGTCGCCACATCTTACATACGACCCATGCATCTTTTCTTACTACATATTTCTGTAGCCTTGTGATCGTCTAGAATTTGTCTCTAGCCGTCTTTACTTCTGCTTCACGTTGTGTATTTACTTCATAATGGTTTTCTTAAGACGTTTGTCTTACCAGGAATAACAATGCAACAGTTCGCTTCTACATTTTATATAACATAGCCGAATACATATGGATACAAGCACAATAGATAACAATACTAGCTAAAACCATTTCTCAACCCTATCCAGCCTTGCGGCTGTCTAGGAACTCAGATAGAACTGGAACCTCTCTGGAATCTAATGGAAGTCTGACTTGAAAGGTTCAAATAGATATCTTATATAGCACCCACGTTTATCACGCATAAATAAGCGTGTTCATGGCCCTGAACCTATGCAATTAACGATATGATTGGTTAAATTAAGCTAAATGATGCAATCCTAAATTTCCTTGCACGTGATATCTGGTGGTATTTTATAGGCAAATGTTTTATATAACAATATGTCATTTATACCATAAGTTGATTTAGTACACACTACATATGTGAATATGTTTGAAATTACTAACTTGCCAAAGATATTAATTAATGAAATATAAAGCCATCTTATTTCTCTATTCCTTGTCTATAAATTTAAAAACAATGTCGCAACGACGATAGTGCTACAACTGGCCATTGTCTTCTAGCAAGACCCAAGAGCTTTACGCCTAATACGTGGAATCGTGGGCTTGGAAACCCCCTAAATGACATTTCAACATAGCAAACTGTAATGCCCAATGAATTAGTATTTTTCTTTTTCCTCATTTAAACAGAATATGAAGCAGTTGCTAACTGTACGGAAATGAACCAGTGTACACAGCACATCAAGTTTCCATTGCGTACACCGTACCTTGCTGAACCACAATACTGGTGTGCGTAAGTACAATCATTTCAATGTTAAACATGAACTTTTAATATGCAGCATACAATTTGTGGGTTCCACTCTAATACCTAAATTCTCTTTTGGTTTTCTGGTTTGTAAGTTTTCTACAATAACTTGATTTGATATGCTCATGACATCTTGTCACCTCATGCGGGGCTTCTTGGTTGATGTAGATTGCACTGGATGTCCTTGGTTTGCCTTCAAATCTCTGTTCCTTAAAGTTATATACATTCGAATTCAACAACTGGAGTGGCGTCTTCAGATAAATGTTGTTTGTCCAAACAGTGAAATCCTATCTTTGACAACCGTTCATTTCCCAAAGATTATCAACAATATTGACTAGACAGACGAGCTTTTCCAGTTCCTCGAAAACGCTACCATCTTGTAAATGACATTACATGTAAAATCTAAACCGGGAATGGTTATATCGTTTATCAATGTATTTTTAAAAGGCCTTGGAAGACGGTATCCTCACCTCAACGTCATTTAAAACTTGTGGGAGCAGACAAATAATCATTAGTGACGTTGTTTTGTTAAGAATTATATGACCTGTCATTGATCACACTGATCGGAAGTAAATATTCGCTAGGCCGCTAATATCACTGACAGAGATGACATCGGTACGAGTTAATGAACTTGTGATATTAACTTTATTCCTTCTGCAAATAAAATTCTTGAACATTTTTTTGAAGTAACAGAAAAATAAATAAGGATGTTTGAAGTATATCTGGATAAAAAAAATATTTTCTATTTAGTGTAAATAGGTATGAAATGATTAAAAGGCATCATTCTGCCCGGACCAGTTGACGTTGTGTAAACATTTCTCGAGCTATCGAACCAATGATCGACGTCATGTGATGTGACGTCACACGTAGATTGCATAATATTATAAGTTAGTCATCTTACCCAGAGTTATAAGAAGAGGGCGCGGAGTTAATTCCAATGAAGGGGAGATTACTCCGATTGGTATTTGAAGTGAAACAATCAATCTTGGTGCTGACTTTATTAACATAACCACATAGAGCCGAATCTGTTAACAAAATTAAATGGGGGTTATTTTATATACTTAATGATCTCAAAATCATAAATATTTACTATAATTTGGCAGACAATGTAAATTCAAACCCTATACAAATATTATCATGCAAGGGAAGAGAGAATTCTTATAAATAGTATTATATCAGGTGAAATAATTACTAGTTATATTCTAGTTCAAATCTACTCGGAAAATGATTGATTTTAACCACTTCTTGTCTAACACATTGTTGGTGGCTTTTTTATTTGTTTGATTTATCAATAACACGAGGCAGGGTATACGTAATTTTCTAAAACCCTAAAAACAACATTGCCATAGAAACCCTTGTTACCTTGGTAGATTTAGTTCACATACAATTATGAATATTATTTGACCTTTTTGTATTTACGGAATTTGATTGCCATTTAAGATCGATGTTAATATAATTTATTCATTATCATCATCATCATCATCATCACGATAAGAATTGCAAGTCTATTCCCATTTCAGATTGTTGAAAACGGCCATAGCTTGTGTTGAAGCATATAAAAGTACCTGTGATAATTCTGGTTTGGATTTGACAAATATGAAGTTCACAGTTGACACGCTTTGTCCTAACGGTAAATATATATACACGTATTGCTTTATAATGAAACCCCATTGGTTAAAATAACCATAAATATTAAATACCACAGTCATAGTGTCCTAGGGCCTACGCAATTTGTGAACTTGGTCACAGTCTTTTAAATCTAAAGGTACAATATATAGATATATATAGACTTTGAGACCAATAGGCTACAATTAAAGATACATTCCCGCCGCGTACAAACTGGGTGATTTAATGGTATATATGGACTAAAAACATATTCAAACTAATTAATTTGTCAATATTTTTGCTTCAAATCCTTCTGAAACATTGTAATTGCGAAGGAATGCCCTGCTATAAAAATTCGATCAAACCAGGTCATGTTTACGTCACGTGACTTACCTCTCTTGGAGAATTCATTGCGTTCATAAGACAATGTTGTCTTTAATCGCTTACTATTTATTACAAATATCGAATCCTAATTAAATTCTCGGATTATCCACTACCCGCGTCTTTTTCCGTCATTTTTATCTCAGAAAGTGTTGTACGTCTAACTCTTCATAAAGTTTATCAACTTGTACACCAAGCGCTCAATGTTCGCGTGTGACCTTTGACATCACGCGTGCAGAAATTCCTAATCGTCAGGCTGTCGATTAGGGGAACCCTTACACTTTTGTCCTGTATACGCTCCATGAGTGTTTTTCGAGGAATCCAATATATTTCTAGTAATTTTGGATATCTCTACTTTCCGTATATACCCAAATTGCCATACTTTTATTGGAAATAACCACCCGATAAATACTTTTCTGGGACCCATCTTTAACTTTATCAATTGAATGTTAGTCTAAAACATCCTTATATGTTTTGTTCTACGGTCGTATGCCAAACCCTGAATAATAATCCATTTCTGTCCGCGAAGATCGACACAAATATGGCATATAACTTATGTTTTAGCGATTTTTACGGCCGAGATTTGTATCTCCTTTTTTACGTTAAATTCAAATATGGCATCTAACTTATGTTTTAGCGTGGTTTTTTTTACGGCCGAGACTTAAAAGTGATTTGCTACTTAATTTAGTTAAACATTTTGCGCTATGTGTGAATCAGTCTCGTCACTTACTACGAAACTAATAATAATGCAATTCACGCCATCAAGTGAAGTTGATGTTATAGAGAAATAAGTAGATATAATATCAAGATGTATTTTTAATCTTTTATTTCAGCGGTTGATGTGTCAGTTGTGGTTTATGAAGGAAATGGTTCAACGACAAAGATGGCGTCGATTGGTCTTTTGGCGATGTCCTTAATGTTACGTTTGGCAGTGTCTTAAGTTTGCTTTAAAATCGGAATAGGACCAAAACACTTTATGTTGGATTAAATTATAAAATTATTTTATTACCTTAACATTAATAATATTTATCAATTTCGCTTATTATCTAGTTATTGAACTGAGTCCCATAATCCTTCCAAAAATAACCCCGTATTTGTTCTAAATCAGCAACCAAATACTGTCCAATTGACATTAAGTTTAATTAGTGTATCTTTGCCGCCCGGTTTTAACCTTTTCCCCAAAACTAAGAGGGGGATTGGATGGCTGAATAGTTAGCGTCCTCGCGCTGTATCATGAAGTCTGTCATTGAGTCGACTGGCGTGGTTTCGAATCCCCGGTTGTACGTGACAAGGAGTAGGGTCGCCTGTCTAACCTCGTGGGTTTTCTTCGGGTCCTCCGGTTTCCTCCCACTGCTAAAGACCCCTATGCGCAAGCGAATTATTGAAATAAAATTAGAAAATATGTTAGTCCCGAAATGACCTAGTTTGTGTCGAGTGGACGTTAAACCCCATTTCTCTCTCTCTCTCTCTCTCTCTCTCAAAACTAAGTTCGACTAAAAGCTCTCTAACGCAGACGGGGCAACATCTGTCAAGCGCCTACTAGTAAAAATGCAACTCTCCGCCGTGAATAGCACTTCAGATCAACCCAAAACTAGCAGACCACGATGGTCCAGTGAGTAATTCGTGGAGATACTAACAGTGCTGAGTGTCGGAGTGCCTCTCAAGGACAAGGATATCTAGTCGGATATGGGACGAAATTCCGAGGTCTCGTGTGCAGTTGTCTCTTGTCCCTTCATAGTTGGAATTCTAAATAAGAAAAAAGGACGTAGCGTCCCTCCACACAAACATTTCATAGCACACACAAAATCATACAACATTTATTAAATATTGTTACTTTCAAATAAGATAATTAAAAACTTTCAATGTTTTATCACGTTATTTAGTTTCTGGTGTAGAGCACGATGCATTATACTTTTCTGATATTTACTGCATTATTGTATTACAATCTTAAATATAGTTTTTATTTATCTCAGCTATAACACATTTTGCATTGAAAATGTAATAAAATTGCTATGCTTAACTACAATTACAATCATTATATTACTTTTGACAAAAACTAAAGCGGTTTAGCACAAGCTTTGCACAAGCAAAATCATATAATTGTTTATATATATACAATCATAAGATGTTTACGAGATGCTTAGTTGCATTGCTTTCAAAGTTTACGAATATAATAATAAGATACTGGTGCCGAGCATTATGCATGTTATTTATTTTATAATGTATTTAAGGGTTTATGAGGGGTGGGGTTTCGATTCCCCGGTTGTACGCGACAAGGAGTAGGGTCGCCTGTCCAACCTCGTGGGTTTTCTCCGGGTCCCCTGGTTTCCTCCCATTGCTAAAGACCCCTACGCGCAAGCGAATTATTGAAATAAAATTGAACCATGCGCTAGTCCCGAAATGACCTAGTTTGTGTTGAGTGGACGTTAAACCCCATTTCTCTCTCTATTTGATGGTTTCACATAGACGATGTCGTGCATTATTGTATTACAATCATAAAATATATTTTATCTCAGCTATTACGTATATTTGCATTTGTTTTGTATTAAAAATGTAACAAAATCTTTAAACTTTTGATAATGCTTTGTTTGTTTTAGATAGCTATATATAGCTTGAAATGAGCTGCTGGCATATATTATGTGCATATAATACGTAGAATAAATACGACTTGGCTGGAGGGGGTGGGTGGGTACAGCATATTTTATGTCATGGATACTTGCATTCTCTAGACTTTGTCGGGTCATTTTAAATACAGTAAGTGCTGATCATATTATTTCATAACATTCCCAGATTAATTACTGAGCAAGGTTCCTGTTATGTCGGTAGAATATGGAAATCAAAAAACGCAAAGCTTACCACCATTCCTGCAACACATCTCCGTTTTGGCCCCTGTCTTCCAGGTATGACCGGCGTGTATACTGTTGGAACACTCTAATCTTGGACTTGGCGCTATTTATTTAAATCCGACAGGAACACAAAGATTTTCGTATATACGTTTTCGTATCAAGCAGGATGCACAGTTTAGAAGACTAAGTTTACATAAAACTTACAGATCAAATGTCTCTCATTCTCCTAATCCTATCAGCCATGCTGAACATTTAGATTTTTGGAAAGAAAACACTGCGTCGTGAACTCCCCAGAATCGCAATAACATCTGAGTTAACAGGACTGATTTTGCTCTTTTATATTCCCTGGTATCTCGTATAAATTAAGTGATTGGTTAATAACATCCAAATGACGTCAAGAATTAGCTAAATATGGATGTGTTATGACTGATACACTTCAAAACATCCTATCCTAATTTGGTCAGCTAGAGATACTGCCAATCTGATTAAAATACAGATTTATATTTCGTTTCGTTTTTTTTTATACTTTCGATGGCCTACACTACATGAAGATCTGACAAGTTATAGCGATAGGTCACGTCAGGGGTCAAAAGACCGACTTTTGACCTATGACGTCAGACATTTGATTAACCAATCAGCATTGATGTTACTAGTGGATTACCCACAGTTCCGGGCAAAAAAGGTCAAACACTCGATTCGACAGACCATTTGATTGGCTGACCCCTCATTTCAAGTAGAACACGAGTTAATTAAAAAGTCTTCCAGATCCAAGTGTAGTAAAGACAAGTAAAACGAAATTTTGAACTATAAAAACGAAACGAAATAGGATCTGTGTTTTAACCAGATTGGAGATACTGCGTATATATCGGTACATATCATCACCATTTAGTTTTAGAAACAAGAGAGGATATGGTGTGTATTTAATAAATCCAGGGATCATTTTAATATATCAAAATATTATCAATTTCCATTGCATTATACCACATACACACGTAGGTTTTTTTTAGATTAGACTGGTACCATATTCATATATAATCCATATACATTTATCAGCACATGAATCATTTTGTTTCTCTTCTTAATCCACTGACTCACTGAGTAACACATGGCTCGGTAACTAGGAGGTGTCGGATTCGCCCCCAGCGTTGGCCGAGAAAGTTCCTCGTAATTTTACAGAGTGGTTTCCACTTCCCCGTGATGTAGTACGAAGAGCCGACAAAGAACAGTGTCTAGTCGTTCGCATAATTATGACAAAAATCCAAGGTCGTGTGCACACATGTGTGTGCACGTAAAAGAACCCTAGACTGTCGGATTTCAATACCAGAGAAGGCCGTAGTGCCATGTCAGGGCAAAACGTATGCCTGTATTTATTAGCACATGTGCAGGACAGAGGGCATGACAAGGGCACACACTGGAGTGCACGTAGGAATTCGGTATAAAAGTAGGCCGTATAGTGCCGCTGTCTGGGCAAAAATGCCTTCATACCACACTGAATGGCTGATGCCCGCCTTCATTTGCACAGTCGGAATAGGACGTTTAACCTCATTTCATTAGCATGGTTGGTGCAGAACAATAGTACGTTAAGCCCCATTTCATTTCAATTATTAATCCACCACATCTTTAACATGGGCTACGTTCCTTATTCCTCTGTAAAATTACCTTGACAGTTTTCCCCAAAAAACTACTAGAGCTTTCTGTATTAACTGATCAATAATGTATTTACATTTTCCGCATGTGTAAATATCTAACCCCCTTTTATACCTTACAACAATGTTCAATTATTCAGAAAACAAGGATGCATACTTGGCTCATTTGAATATTTGGCATAAATGACAGGGGAAAGCGTGGTGGCTTTGTGGAGGTCCTGGGTTCGATTACTAGTTTATTTGAACAAACACACACACAAGATATCGCTTGCACTTTTAATAACACAACTGAAATGTATCAATAATATAAACATTAAAAACTAGAATCAACCCACCGAAACAAACGAACCGCAATTCTCAGCCCTTGGTCCCACATAAAAATCACAGAAATGCAAATGTCAAAAATACCACACACAAATAAACAATATATTTATAAACAAACAAACAAACTCATATATCAAAAATACAAATCTCACATCTATATTATATATACACAAAACGTCTTACAATTAACGTTCTCTTTTCTCAACAAGAGAAAGAGAACAAAGCAGGCCGTTCGATTTCTCGTCGGCATCATACTCTATCAACAACAATTGGTCAGAAATCATTTAATCAGACAGATGGGCTTTAAATAAGCACGATCCTGATTGGTTATAAACGGGATGCATACACCATCACACGCATCTAGAATTCACAAACATTTTAGACTTCCGACACAAAGTGTCTTGGTAACACCCTCGTGGCTGTTACACTAAAGAGTATAATAACCAACAAGTAATCACGTCGCCAACCATATTCAAGGAGTTATCTTGGTCATGATTGGGTCATAAATAGCCATGCTTTCATAGACCTTTCTTGTAACCAGATGTTGTCCCGCCACTATGTGACGTCATAAGATAATTATCCATACAATCACTACAAAATATTTAAAAATTGCAAAAAAGGTTTCTTTCAGTAACGACATGGTTTGCACATTTCAAAATCGGAATCAAATATATATTTTTTTCTGTATAAGGATTGGACGGAATTTGAATACGAGATCATTAGAATAAATATTGGAAATAAAACATTTTTATACAGTTGAATCCCGCTTTCTCGATATAAAAGAGGTTCATGACATCCATATTAAGCGTAAACATGCATATCGAACACAATAATAATTACATGTTATTATATTAAAAGGTCCAGGTTTCAACATAAGTAAAGTATAAAAAATATGTGCACTAACAATTTAAAACACCACAATACAAGAATAATACATTCTTTGGTTTAAATCAGTAAAGCTCTGGTATGATTATATATATATATATATATATATATAGTCCGTCGGGTTCCAAAGCAGTATACTTTTGTTGTTCTTCACTGTGATTGGTTCGTTTGGTTGGGGGGTTTGTTCGCAGACCATAATCCATTGCCATGTCGTCAGGGTCGTTGTATCCACTGTTTTACAACATTACTTTAAAAGTTGTCATCAGAGTCAGGACAATTGTAATCGCCCCGTAAGTCGCTGTAACATAGTGCGTACAATAAAATAATCAAAATTTCGAAATGAAATGGGGTTTAACGTCCTACTGTTTTGCTCCGAACAGGGCTAATGAAGACGGGCATACGCCATACAGTGTGCTATGAGGGAAATTTTGCCCGGACAGCGGCACTACAGCCTACTTTTATGTAGAATTCGTCAAGGGATCTTTTATGTGGGACCTCGGTTTTTTCGTCTCATCCGAATGACTAGACAGCTGTCCTTGTCAGCCCCCCCCCCCATCCTGCATCGCTGACAAGGGGGAACCACGCCGGAAAATCTGGGTGTACTTTCTCGGCAAATGCAGGGATCGAACACCCGACCTCCAGGTTAGCGAGCCAGCGTTTTACCCACTTAACCACCTTGACCCCAACACGCAAGCGACTGATCAATAAATTATTAAAATTGACCATTCAAAGTCTACATTGCTTCATAATTCTGATATCTTTTCGTATAATCCTGGTCAATTTGCTATTTCAAACAAAAAAAAATTACAATTCTATTCATTAAAGTAGTACATTGCAGGCCTTTCTTTGGGCCTTAAATGTTATTCAAATTATTAATTAAACATTTATTAACATGCCAAGATCATAATCAATTCTCGATGCCATCGGATTTCTACGATTTTAAGTAGATTAGAAAAGTTCGGCCATTTAATGATTTAATTTAAAAATGGAGACGCAAGTCTACGACTCAACTTACCAGGACGGTGGTTATGATCAATGCAAACATCTCTGTCAAAACTACAACCATTGATAACTTCGCTCAAATAAAAGTAATTTGAATGAAATTTCAATATATTTATTTTGCATTATCTATTTTGAAATATTATTGCGCAAACGGCCAGCTCTAAATCTTACATAATGCCCCATTGATCTCGTTAATATAGAAAATATTTTTGTTTATATATACAGAAAATAAAACATAATGTTGTTACCTTTAGCACCATAGCCATTGTAGGTCTCTGTTGTCAGGTCCGGTGCTACAGAAGAATATAATTGAATCCAGAATTAGTTATTCGTATTGTCAATCTTTGAAATAGTTATTGTCGCGTCATAATTTCATAATTTAATTGACGGACAAGAACAAGACACTGAATAAAGCAAGCCCATTCAAGTGACACTGGGGATTTCTGAGAGAGAGAGAGAGAGAGAGAGAGAGAGAGAGAAACCTACTTCAGAAGTTAAGCAAGTGCTAATTATTAAAACTTACCGTTAGGGCAATACCCGGCGATTGACTGTACACGATCATCATCTGGTTTGATAGAATTCGCAGTACAGTCACCTTTACCGTCATTTTTTGTACCACATGCCATTGTAGTCTTGATCACACTAAGATATGAAATAAAGATAATAATGTATTTATTTTATTTTTTGGTGTTTTAATACAATTTTCACTATTAATTAGTGACTTATAGTGACTTATTACAAAACGCCCAAAACAGTCGCTATACTTGTTTTAAATTTGTATTACGGATTACGGCGTATAAGAATAGAGGTAGGCCACGCCAGTATATGCCTTGTCAAGCACAGTGTTAGCTATATATCAAATACCGATTATACGCTCAACTGAAAACTGATTGATGTACTTTTGTTCTAAAATAAAGGAAAAGCTGTCGTACCCCAGACAGTAAGTATAACAACTTTACCAACGCCAACCAATTTTTTTCTTATTTCGTGAAATGTTTTGCACAACAACGTAGAAACACCAAATAATTTTCTGCATCATAAAGTCTAGCATTATCGTTCCAAAATATATCCAAAGCAGCAATACAACTATTATTCTCTCCATCAAATAAGTATGTTTTCACTTCAAAATAGTCACAAAAGTACTCTATAACTTTCATCCAATTGAACGAACATTTAGGTGCTTGAACTTATTGACCCTAGCTGTTTTTGATAATATATGATATTGACTTTTCAACTCTGTATATACTTCTTTTTAGTCACGTTCTATAATTAAACACGTAATTAATCCCATATGTGATTTACAAAGGAATACACACTAGTCAGTAATCATACCATGACGTAATAAATAGACAATTCCATAGGCCGAGAAAGTTCATCGGGATTTTCTGATGTGGTTTCCCCTTGTCAGTGGTGCAGAACGGAGGGCCTGGCAAGGACAGCTGTCTAGTCCTTCGGATGAGACGAAAAACCGAGGTCCCGTGTATACATTTCCCTCATAGCACACTGTATGGCATATGCCCGTCTCCATTAGCCCAGCAGAACAGTAGGACGTTAAACGTTTCAGAAAACAATTAGTTAAAAGACTCATTAATTTGTGTTATATTTTGTCATTCATTTTAGATATTGATTAGCTCACTCGGAGCAGAACAGTAGGGCGTTAAACCCCATTTCATTTCATTTCATTTCCTTGATTTTATGTCAACACAATAGATTTAGTTGTCTTTAGCAGAGCTGTTATTGTTTGGGGTAAGGCAGCTTTTCTCTTATTTTTAGAGCAAAAGTACATCGTGGTTGACTTATTTCGTCTAATTAGTAAAATAATATTATACCTGACCAGACATAATAATTGTGTAGCAATAATATTTTCAATAGGCTGATCGTGAAAATAACATCAATCAGTCGAGCGTATAAATGGTAGCTGAAATATAGCTAGACGGATGTGGACACTGTGCTTGACAAGTTAAATACGTCGCCTGCCTCTATTCTTATACGCCGTTTTGTAATCGGAGTCAGCTTTAAAGCGCCATTAGGTAAGATTAGATAAAGAGCTGATAGTTCTCGCTATAATAGTTAAAAATAGAAAATGAAATGGGAATATGTTGAAAATTACAGTCAAATTACTCCACACTGAGCCGAGTTAACGTCGTTAGAAGAACAGTGTAGCTTTGATTGGAATTGCTACCGTTGTTAAGATAATAAAAAAAAGTCTTAAATGGACGAACCGTTCTAATGTACTTAAAATCGGAGCCATCCGAAGGCATCTAGAGTTGATTATAGTCTGGATAAATTAATTAATGTCTAATCAATAATTCATATAAGATTTAAGGCCTAAAGAAAGACCCACAATAGGCAGATTTAACTTTCGAATAATGCCTGTTTAATATTTTGATACTATGAAATAAGTTTAATGTGTTAATCTAATTTACGTCATTACGAATTGATCATTGGTCTCAATTTGAATTTTTACGACAGTTTTATCCAAGACCCAAACTGAAATTAGAAAAAAAGATAGCCACACAGCAGCTTTGTCTCGATAAAAAATACAGCCATAAACAATAGCTTATCCAAAAGGGAAACCTTGGTTGGTTACCACATTTGAATCTATTAAATTAAAAAGCTTTCGGTAAGTCGCAAAGAAGTGAATATGTACAGGGTTAATCCTCCCTTGACCACAATGCTGCACACCAAATTTGAAGAAGAATCTGTAAAACACTGTAGCTTCTATCGCGTTCATAGGATTTTAAGCAAAAGGAAGTTAACTATCGGAGCGGAGAGTGGCGGAACAATGAATATCCGTAAAAAACTGTAGCCTCTGTAGGCTTCGTCCTCCTTTGGTCCGAATGCTACACTCCAAATTATCAATAGCTTTCGTTCTCTCATGAACCCAATCTTTCGTTTCAATTTTGAAAAAGATCTATTGAAAATCATAGCCTCTATCGCGTTCCCAATGTTTCAGACAAGGGCAGGACAATAGCCTATATCACGTTCAAAATGTTTTATCGATAGGCTTCGTCCTCTCATGACCTGAGGGCTTCCCACCAAATTTTAAAAAAAAAAACCAATTAAAAAACATAACCTTAACCTGTATCACTTCACAAGGTTTTCGGAAAAAGAGGAATTACTCGGGAACGGAAAGTAGATAAAGTTCGTTCTCGCGTGACCACAATGCTTCACATCAGATTGTTGACGGACCGACGATACACGAACAGACGTGTTAGCGTATAATAACGACTTTCGTTTAATAAATCGAAACGAAAATCTAACTGTATATGGCAAGTCCCTAAATTCGATAGTGAAGTGATTGCTGGGAATTAAATAGTCATTACGAGCTGATTGTCAATTGATGTCTGGATCAGAGTTTAACTTGGTTTTGAACACGGGACTCGGGTGAAAAAAAACCCCAAAACATCGTTACGTACATATATCTAGAAAGCTTTACAATACCTCAACTGTTTATGATTACAATAAGGTTGCAATGGTTTTACCTAAAAAGATATGGTATTCAGTCAAATGAAAATAGTACTTACGCACACCAGTATTCGGGATCGGTGTATAATTTTAATTCTGAGGGCTTTTTGATCGTCTTGAAGCAATCAGTGAATTCTGTACAGGGTGAAGCTTTTGCTGTAATAAGAAACAACTGAATTGAACAGCCCCGCTTAGAACAGTTCATAACGAATAACGGCGATATTTGATATACCTATTTTGTATTATAAGCAAGTCAGATGTTACCAGATTAGCTAAAGATCTATAATAATCTTACTACAAGAGTTGCAAAAGTCCTACCAAACGAGTTACAATAACCTTACTAAAAGAGTCACAATAACCTTACTAAAAGAGTTACAATAACCGCAATAAATAGTTACAACAACCTCACTAAAAGAGTTACAATAACATTACTAAAAGAGTCACAATAATCTTACTAAAAGAGTTATAATAACCTTACTAAAGGAGTCACAATAAGTTCATACTAATGTATTAGTAAGCCATGTGAGACCTTTTATACACCCACAATTTGTATCAGTATATATTGTTGTCCATCAGTCCGTACTACTCATTTTACCGCAGCCTCGTCAACATTCCACAGGCAAGATTGTTTCGGTAATGCAAGATTGTTAGGATTTTTTAGGTAGTGCTAAGGAGGAAATCTATCGTAATTTTAGAAACCCGGAATGAATTTACTGTCCCATTAGCCCAAACTTTTATAAATTCTTTTAAGATCAGAGATGTGACATATTATGTGTATAACGTTAAATAAGAGTTGTGTACTGAAATATGCTCTATTTATATGTACGCAAGTCGAATAGTACTGAGTTTGTGAAACAGGAACATCACAATTAAACTTTTAACAACCTACCTGTTGTACCGCTCACCGTACAATAGTCAAGGGAGGCTGTTTGCAGGTTTAGAAACGTATATGCTAATCCTTCATAAGGTTTGTAACTTGTGCATTTAGCAGTATCATTTAACAACATTTCGTATGCACTTAGAGTATTTAAAATTGCCCTGAAAGTTAAAAAAAAAGTCAAAATATTATATTTAAAGAATTCCAGTTCAATTTGCAAAATAAAATTAAGCAAATTGTGTTTTATGGCTCGCGCCAGCATCAAATGGGTTATATTGTCCAAACATGATGATCAAGATTTAAATAACATTACCACAATGGAAAGAACTAATACCCTTCTTTTGTCTATAAAAATCACATGAAAACTTTAAATATTAAAAATCATAACACAATTATAATTCTAAAAACTTTACAAATAACTCGGGTGGGCAAACAAAATGACGCAAATATTGTCCACGGTAAACAGCAAAAAGTTTATCGACCTAGATGTTTACACTCGATTCAATGAATGAATGATGCAAAAACTTTTGACCAATTTCAGGGCGACAGCTTCTTTCCTTCTGATGGTGGTTGGGTGGCCGAATGGTTTAACGTGTGAACGTTAAATCATAGGGTTTGCCATAGAGTCAAGTGACATGGTTAGGATTCCCTGCTTTTACGTGACAAGGAGTGGGGTCAAACCATAATATTATGTTAGTTCCGAAATGACCTAGTTTGTGTCGAGTATAGACACTCTCTCTCTCTCTCTCTCGTAATGTTTGCACTACTAAAATTTTTTGTTACACTTCATGTAAATTCCTAAAACAGGACCAAAGAGCCAATAATGGAAAGATCAAGAAGTAAGTATATTATATGGTCGAGTCATGTGTAGAAAGCACAAATTATTATTGTTAGCAAACGTCCTACTGTTCTGCTCCGACTATACACCATACAGTGTGCTATGAGGGAAATTTTGTCAGGACAGCGGCGTTACGGCCTACTCTTATATCGAATTCCAACTCCCATGGGATCTGTTACGTGCACTCCAATGTGTACACGATACCTCGGTTTTTAGTACCATCCGAACGACTAGACAGCTGTCCTGGTCAGACCTTCCGAATAGTAAAGACACATCATGTAATATTTAGATAAAGAACTCGCCGTTCTTGTTATAATAGTTTAAAAATAGATAATACAAAATGAATATATTGAAAATTTCATTCAAATTATTTTTTTCTGTGCGAAATTTCGACCTTACTTCTTGCCACGTACAAGCTTGGAATCGAAATCACGTCACTTGCTTCAATGAAAAACCTGATGATCTAACACGAACGCATTAAACCCCGCTAACCTTTATGTAATGAACCTAAGCATTAAAATTGACCCCACCCCCTTTATCGCTGACATTAACGTTCCATATTTGGTAAGTCGTAAATAAACAGTAGATATGGCGCTGTCAGGAGCTTTAACCTCTCAACTTGGCAAGTGAGAATAGATGTTTTAGTATGTTAAAAAAGTTTTTTGTTTTTCTTAAAGATGCATTATGTAAGAGCCAACACTGCCTATTGAAGGTCTTTATTTTGGCTTCAAATACTATACAAAGTATTGAGATATCTATTAACTTGACAAGGAAGAGGGGTTTTACATATAGGCGAAGCCTGTTCCCCAATCTCATTCAGACATCCTGAATAAAAATATTGATTACATAAAACAAACACTTAAATCGGATGGCAGAGATTTAAATGGATTAGAACGCCCGCGAGATAATGGATAACCAGGATAATAAACAATCTCCCAACATGTATAACTACGCTCTGAGTAAGTTAATTTAAATAAAATTGTGAATTCATTTCTCATTATCTATTTTGAAACTATTATAGCAAGAACGGACAGCTCTTTATCTAAAACTTACATAATGAATCTTTAACGAGGACCTGTACAAAATCGGAATCGTAAGGTAAATATCATATTAGTCTTTCGATATTTCCATATAAATCGATCTTCTGATACGAGAATTTCCTTATGGAATTGTAACGACATGCAAATGTTGTCATGAACCGCTAATAAATGCATAGATGGGTCGACGACTGTAATCCAGCGAATTTCATTATATGAAAGGACAATGGCTTGTTATCTAACAAAGCTTGTTACATCTAGTTCCAAGAGAAATATAGTATATGGCTTCGGTTTTATTTTTTTAATCTAAGCGGCAATTGATTGTTTGTCGACCAATCGAAATTTCCAACAAAATGCTATTCCGTCAAAGAAGGCTTTTGTTGACGTTTAGAGAAAAGAGAATCCGTGTCAATTGCAAAAAAAACCAAAAGGAGCTTACAAACACACAGCATCAGTATACTGGAATCCAGGAGCTAAACTGGCCTCAATTTTCATAACTTCCGCATTTAATTCTGTGCAGCCTGTGCCTAAAATTTTAATAAATTCTACATTTATGTCGAATGTATACTCCTACTTAAGTTAGAACAGGTCAATTTAATTAATTGTAGGACCAAAATGTTTTACAATAATACAACTTTGTGTTTTGTCTTAAACTCCTTGAGGGCATCGGTGTTTCAGTGACCGAGAACTTCATCGGGATTTACAGGTGTGGTTCCCCTTTGCTAATTGTGCCTGGCAAGAGACAACGTTCGGATGGTACAGAAAACCGAGGTCCCGTGCACACATTGGAGTGCACGTAAAAGAGCCACTGGCAGTTAAAATTCGATATAAAAGTAGGCCGTAACGTTACTGTCTGGGCAAAATTAACCTCATACAGTATGGCGTATGCCCGTCTTCATTTGCCCAGTCGGGAAAAAACCTCAAGACGATAAACACCATTTCATTTCATTTTCTTAAACAGCATATTGAACTGTCATTGTGCCATGTTAAAGGCTTAAGATGATAGAAATACCAACAAAACTCAGGTACTGAGTTAAAGACATATACGATCAAAGGTACTTTTAAAAAAACCAAAAAAACCCAACCACTTCCAGATATTATAGAAATTGATCAGTTCTAGTTGTATAGGAATTGTATGATCGACCAATGATTAAATCTACGACAGAATGCAAATAATAAGCCCGGAAAATGATCGGACAGTTTTAAACGATTATCCATCCCTCTCTATTCCAGCAGTATAAATTGATATCCCCTACGTCCACCCCCGTGGTATATAAAACAAAATACATACCGGGATCGGTTTGTTGTGATGGTGGTGGATTACCTACTGATTAAATAAAACAGTACATATTATATTACTAAACATTACGAAAAGTAACCAATTCCTGATAAACGGTTTGCTAAACATAATTGTTATATTCCTGAAAGTTATTTTTTCTTATAAATGAGTGACATATTACATGCAACAATGAAGAGGATAACATTGGGTCTACGGATGCTGGGAATATAATCCACACCTCTTAACTCAATGACAGACATTGGGGCCACTCGTTAAGTTAGAATTGTGGACCAACATGTTTTACAACAAAACTACTTGAAATATATGCAATCTCCATCAACATATTTTTCGAGAAATATAACAAATCAAAATTTAAACAACAGGCCTACCCTATTCTTTGCCAAGGATGAAGTCATCGGGTGTTTTCGCCAATATTTAATTTTATACCAGAATTGTTAGTATAAATATAGCATTTACTTGGCAATTATGGCGATTTTCATCAGGCCCTAAATCGAGTTATTGCAAGCATTTTTCTTGGGACTCTCGAATTTGTGTTCCTGGTGTTATAAGCTTTCCAAAAGTGTTGTGAAAGAAGAGTTAGAAGTTGAATAAGATAAACCCTATTTGGGACATGTGATGAATGGAACAATTCATGACTGTATTGTAATTTAACGCGCATGTGATTATTCATATTTCAATTTCTATCAGTTAACTTCAAAGAAGCTGAGTCATATTTTTGAAAATTGTATGCTGACATCATCGTTTAACGTCAAACTAAGAGGTGATGACGTCATGGGATTAATTTAAGATAAGTTATGGCCATGTTTCTATCTGTTTCTCACCACTCGCCCACAAAATCCATCATTTAAATATGAAAATTCCCATAAGCAAGACCATTATGTGTACACTTCATGTCAGTATTACACAGTGATATAGCTTTTGCATTTACCTGTACATGTCTTAGTTGCAATATCACACGTCCCACTTTCTTCACAATCTGTATCCTCATTACATTCTGAAATGATAACAGAAGTAGAAATTTTAAACTGGTTATTTTAAAACTAATATTAAGACGCCGATGTTCTTTACAAAATCTTGATCACTTTCACATTTTTCGGTATAAAGGGGATTATCAGTTAAGTAAGATTATATTGTTATTTGTTAGAATATAGTACCGGTACAAACAGTAATTTTAAAGTAGCTTTTACTTCATTTCGGACACCGGTCTTAACAAATAAAGGAACACCTCTATCCGAAATGACCAGGGTTGGTGTTAGTATGAATTAGGCACGGAATAGCCTGCACTTTAGACATCATGGCGTATATTGTTTCAGATATATCATAGACATGCTGTAAACATTATAAATATAACGTTTAAATAGTTGGGTCTGACTATAGTTTATATTATATTTAAAGTGATGAATTTAAACTGTAAATGGTAGTTTCTTGTATTGTTTGCTGGATGTAGCGTAAAGTATTCAGATACAATTCAGATAACACCCAGACATCATGAAAACATAGTTTGGAACGGCCAGGTTTCTTCCGCTTAAGGCAACGATGGTAGCTGATCACATATTATAAATTAAAATGACTTGTATTGTTATCATATGCAGACCTTGTGTAATGGTAATGTGATGTAATCATTACATTTTTTTAAGTAATGGTCATGTAATGAGTAATGGAAGATTCCAAAAATCATATAATGGTCAATTATATTTCAATTTCATTTCATGGCACATATAACAAATATAACAAGCCCCAAATTTTATAGCACCAAAAAAGTAAATTAAGTCTATCTGACACAAATCCAATTCATTATAATTTAAAAAAAAGATTTAAATCAGTTTTGACATATTATAATAAGAATAAGAAGGCATTAAACATTTTCTTTTATTACTTTTTTTTATGTAAGACTCTTTAGATACATAGCCTAAAATGTGGATTTCTGCAAAGATGTATATTGTAATCAAAGATCTGTGCTAATTTACAGGCAATCATTCAACCAGTTAGATTAAAAGACATTAATAGTCATACTAAACTTTAATCTTAAATTCAAGGTAACAAGTGACAAACCAAACAATGGCTTTCAAGTATCTCATTATTTTATGGTTATTTAAAACAAATATATATTTTGTTTTAGAGTTATGCTGAATAATTTATTAGTTACACAATTATTATAGACAAACTATTTCGATTGCTTAAGAATTTTATAAAGTTACTTAAAAGAAAATACAGTTAATTAACTATACTTTCGATTCATTTTTAAAGTCGTACAGTGAAAACATCACCACTGCCCATCTTTTGAAAATTTGCCTTCATGTTATAATATATAGAAATAACAATTCATACACAAATATCTATTAAAGTAAATCAAAAATTGTGTTGAGTTTGATTTTGTAGGCGCCCCATGGCAGAAAAAAAGGTTGTATGTTTAATTTCTATGAAAAAAAATGTTTTTTTATTTATATAGTCATAACGTAATGGGTAATGGTAATTAATTACTTTCAATGTAATGATTAATGGTAATTAATTACATTGCTAAAACTGAGAAAGGAATTGTAATGATTACATTTAAATGGTATTGGTAATGTAATTAATTACATTGACAATGTAATGGCCCCAGCCCTGAATTCTTGACTAAATATTAGTGATGCTATGGTGCTCTTTATTTTAAACTATTTATTTAAGAATCTCTTATTAGGAATCTGGATATATAAATGTATACATGCAATCACAGATTGTAACCATACTGCTTCCCGTGACAAAGAATACTGGTTATTTATTAATACCGGGTGGCGTCCAATAGAATACCGCCCGAAATTATCTATATTTCAACTATTATAAGCACGAACGGTCAGTTCTTTATCTGAAACTTACATAATACAGATTTAGGTGAGAATCTAAAATTAAACGTAATGGGGATATTACGACTTTCAAAAATTCAACTAACTAAGTAAATAAAAGAAATGCGAGATTTGGAAAAATATGTAAGATTTGGAACTTTTAAAAGAAATCAAAAGTACACACTTTACAGATAATAAACGGTAAATGTAACGGCATTCAAACTCCAAATTGTGATAATATCGTCAATTCTGAACATTTCACATCTAAATATTTTGTCGTTCTGAAATGATCGCTAGATTTTCTCATTTCAGGAATTTCCCTGTCAGTCCCACAATCTCCGCCAATGGGAAATGAGAGGCGGATTTTAAAAATTTCTAAGATTCTTATCATTAGTCAATTAAACATGTAAAATGAAAGTTTACACTTCGTCAAAATAATATTACAGATTTTCAGATACTTGCACTGACATAGTATAAAGTTTTATTCTAGTACCCAGCGCCTTAGAATTATCGTTCTAATTAAGGCAGTTTTACTGATATTTCAGTAACCTGTAGTTAAAAATCAGATGTTATTCTGTTATTCGCATAACAGTATAAAAATCTTTACCTACATGTTGGATAATCACAAACATGTGTTGAAACTATTGTGTTTCAGGCATACGATAAGTTAGTCCTCTTTGATTTGTCTCAAGTGTGGGAAGCGTGACTTTGTTGTTGATGGGCTCATGGATGTTATTATTTGTACTGGTAATTATCTTGCCACTTACCTACGCACTTATCTTGAGAGCCTGTCTCTAACATTTTCCCTGCTGGACAAACTGAAAAATATCATGGTAGTCAATATCAATATTTAATCAATAACAGAAGAACAATAAATCGTACCTCTAGAATCTAATATATAATATACTTGGAGATTGATACCTGTATAAGTCAAATGTAATATGGATCTATTAACAACGGACTTCACAAAAACCTAGGCCTATAGCGTATATTGCATTCACAAATCATGATCCCAATGCCTCCCTGGGGGGTTGGATGGCTGAATGGTTAGCGTGCGCGCGCTGTATCATAAAGTCTGTCATTGAGTCGACTGGGGTGGTTTCGAATCCCCGGTTGTACTGACAAGGAGTAGGGTCGCCTGTCCAACCTAGTTGTGTCGAGTGGACGTTAAGCTCCATTTCTCTCTCTCTCTCTATCCAATGACTCCCACCAAATTTGAAAGGAGTGAATTTATAATTATGGCCTCTATCGCGGTCACAAGACTGCTTAACTCTGGCAAAACAAAGTCGCTACCATAACCAAATTGCTTCACACAAAATTTGAAAAGAATCCGTTAAAAATGGACGGATAGACCGACAACATAGTAGCCCACATTGGAAATAATGCTAAAATGTTAGTGGAAGAAACTAAAGACGACAGGGAGAACATATGAACTATTGTAGATCTTTGGAAATTTGACAAAAATCTGTTTCATACCACAGTAAGAATAAATCAGTATCACATAAAAGTGTTTCTGAAGACAAGCCTGCATGTAGTAGACCTTAATGTCTTGGAGAGGTGTTTTCAGCATCATCAGAATACATTTTGTTCTAATAACATGTTAATCTAAAATTGTAGACAAATTAATACCATTTCACAACATCCCTCTTCCACACAAATGGCACTTGCGAAATAAGGAAACACACAATGTCGCGCGTACGACATTCGTTACAATTTCTAATTAAGAGGTATCGCGTTGTACAAACCATTATATTGTTTTCACTTACCGGCACAAGTATTAGTATCAGTATTACATACTTCACCGTTTTCATTAGAGGCACACTGGGTATCCACATTACACCCTGAAATGATAACACTTTAAAACTGTATATTTAAGATTTTTTTATTAGGAAGCTGGATAAATAAAACTATACACGTAATCACAGATAGTAAACCATGTGACAAAGAATACTGGTCATTTATTAATATTAGATGCAGTCCAATAGAAGGTCGTCAGACCTGGTCATTTTAGGTGGTGGTAGGTACCTTGATACGTGGAACAATAGAAGATTGTCCGATATAGTCATACTAGGTGGTGGTAGTAGTGCTATTTTGTTTTATTGCTACGACAAAGAGGGATCGAAAATTGAACAACAGAAATTTGGTACCTTGATTGAGGTGACAGTTTACATAAGGTTTTTTCAAATTTGGAGTGTAGCATTTGAGTCGTGGCAAGGTGAACCCTATTTCCCACAACCCCCTCCCCCTTTTGCAGAAAACATTGGGAACGCGATATTGGCTACGGTTTTAGCTGACAATTATTGTGAGGCATTTTGGCCATGAGAGGGAGCACTCTATCTGTATTCAGCGTTCCGCGAACTTCTGGTTGGGAGTCCATCCCTTCCGTTTCCGAGGCTACAGTTCTTAACAGACTGGCAGTCTTTTTAAAGACTGGGTCACTATTGTACGACTTACCTACACATACTTTAAGATCGCCAGTACTGCATACTGGTGTAGCAGCAGTACCAGAACAGTCATTATCGCTAGTGCACGCTGAAAAATATCATTCAAAAACACTATAGAAGGTTTATATTCTACTAATTTCTCATTATTATAATAACACTCCCTAAAACCTAAAACGTATCCAAATTATCTTAAGATAGATAAATAGAGTCGATAAAAGGGGTATTCAGCAGTGGGAGGAAACCGGGGGTCCAGGAGAAAACCATGGAAGTTGAGAAGGCGACTTTACTCCTTGTCACGTACAGATTTGGGATCGAATTGACGCAATGACATACTTTATGATCAGAAGCGGACGTGTTAGACTACTCGACCACGAAGCCTCAATTCTCTAAGCAGTTTTGGGTGTAATATATTTTATCTACCAAGTCTATTTTACAATGGGATACAAATAATGGCGTGGCTTTAAAGTATGTGAATTAGATTGTCGCAAGGTATTTAAATTAACTGTGTAAGTTAATCGTTTTATTTTTGTGTACTGACTCTTGTAATAGTGATGCTATAGAACTGTTTAACAATATAGATTTAAACTATACGGAAATCCAGAGTCTTTAAAAACAATGTTAAAAACATTATCCATAATATTTACGTCACATAAAAACACGAATAAGAATTCTTTATTGGTCCATTTCAATCAATATTCATGTTATTAACTTATCGTGAAAATATACACTTCAAAAAAGTAGGGAATATTCAGAAACAATATAAAACTGCAGAAATGCACTGATGTTTTTATTAGAGGTAACCACTGAATAACAGACCAATTGCCTACACAGGAACATAAACAGTTCATATGGGCGGCCTATCTGACGGCCTCATTTCACTCGCAAAGAGAAACACTGTCAAAAGTGAAAATGGACGTTTTTGATTTTTGGCTTAATTGCTTCACCACTCCCCAGACATTCAGCAATTCGTCGTGGCATGCTCCTAACCAACCGTCCAATCACGATTTGGGGAAATCTGACCCACTCCTCTTGCAGTGCCACGGGCAATTCTTGCATCGTTATCGGTTGAGGTTGACGAACACGTCTCCCGATCATGTCCCAGACATGCTCTATAAGGGAGACCAGGACTCATGGCTGGCCAAGGCATATTGACAATATGGCGACGCTGGAGGAGTCATTCACGACACGAGCGCGGTGAGCACGGGCATTATCATCTTGAAAGATAAAACGTCGTCCTGCATGTTGAGCAAAGGGCAGAACTATCGGTGCCAGGATGTGGTCACGGTAGTACAAACCAGTGACCCTTCCTTGAACAATATGCAAGTCCATTCTGCCAGTCATGGTGATTCCTCCCCACACCATAACAGACCCACGTCCGAATCTGTCATGCTGTCTGACGTTAACGTTAGCATGACGCCCATTTACACGCCTCCAAACGCGAGAACACCTATCGGTGAAATCCAGAGAACTCATCTGAGAACATTACACGCGCCCATCGACGATTACCCCAATTTCTACGCTGCCTATACACCATTGACGCATGTTTGCCATGTGCTGGCGAGTTTGGGTCTCTGTTCTCGATTTATGCTCATTTTGCGCTGTTGCATTTAATATGCTGTTTTGATAGAAATTATCTCTGTGTATAATACATTATGCTGTTTTGAGAGAAATTATCTCTCTGTTGTAATCCAAATTTTGGATTATTGTTGTGGATTCTTATCAGGTCGATTTATATAGATTCAAGGATTATTCATCCGGTCAAGTTTGGATCATCAAGATCCTGTGTAACTCTGCCAACTTTCTTGCAAGTATTTTCATCGTATTAAAACGAGTCGTCAGACCATTAGCTGTATTCGTACATCTTAACTTCTCCTTGTAGATCGGCAACAATTCCAGCTATATCTTCCAAACTGGTAAAGTATCTGATACGGTAAATTAGTTTTGTTTGTGTACGATAACATATCTGCTACTTATTTTACGAATGTTTAAACAAGGCATAACTTTGTAATATTACATTAGTTGAATAGGGAGTTCGGTTTTTAGCTTTCATTAAGTTTTATCATTATCTATACACTTACCATCTACACACAATGCCTTAGCTGAGTCATATACTTCGGTGGTTTGACATGCTGAAAATATGAACCTGGATATCATTATTTTACAATAACAAAAGAACAACTATTAACTATCATACATCTTCATAAATAATAGCATTCACCTCCTTTTAATCCCTGTTAGAGATTTCTGTTGTGTAGGTTTAGTTCTTAATGGCCCCCTAATCAAAGGTGTTAAGCTTTAATTGCATTTTATTCTTATTTTTGTTGCATATTCTGTATACATTTTCCCACATTCACATATTTGTATCATTTGTTTGATAAAGACGAGAGTATCCTCGTCGAAATGTCGCTTAGCATTAAACTCAGTAATTGTGTATCCATAAAATTGTAACTTGTGTTAATATGTTCAATTACTAAATGCCAACCAAAGAAGAAAGCATTCTTATAAGTTTTGATGTGGTTAATCTATACAGCAATATAGAAGTAAATTTAGGACTGTCGGTTGTTGAATATTGGATTGATAAGCACCACGATTTAATCGAAAAACGTTTTACAAAGAAATTTCTATTACGGGCATTAGAATTAGTAATTCAAAATAATATATTTTATTTTGATGGTCAATACTTGAAACAAATCAAAGGTGTGGCCATGGGTACAAAGGTTGACCCGATTATTCTACTTTGGCTTTAGGATACGTTGAAGAATTATGGTATGATAGAATAGGAGAGCAATTTAGTAATGAACTAAAACTATACATAGAAATAAACTGGAAGAGATTCTTAGATGATTGTTTCATAATATTTAACCAAAATGATTCTGTTTTAGCCAATTTACATTGTTTACTTAATTTACTAAACGATAATATTCAATTTACAATCGAAAAGAGCAAATCTAGTCTAAGTTTTCTTGATGTAACGTTAGTAATTACGACAGATGGCAAAATTGAAACCGACCTATACTAGAAGAAAACCGATACACACCAATATCTCAATTTTTTCTCATGTCACCCATCACATATAAAACGTAATATTCCCTACAATATGGCTTTAAGAGTATGTACTATTGTGTCTAATAATAAAGTTAAATACTCCAGACTTTATGAATTAAGAAATTTCTTAACAAGACAAAATTATCCCTTAAATTTGATTACTAACGGATTCAATAAAGCTTTAAAAAGGGACAATAAAGACTTGAGAAATAAAAACCAAATGAAAGAAAGTAATAAATCGGATTTAATACTAGTCACTGCTTTCAATCCGTTGCAAGAAAAGAGAATGGATGTGTTTCTTTCAAATCAGGGTGAATTAAACAAAAGTTCGAAAATAAGATACATTCTGAAAAATAGTAAATTGAAAGATAGTCGGAAACGGTCTCCAAATTTACGCAGGATTCTGACGAAATCCAGATTCGATTCGGATTTTTCAAAACCTTCAGTATCCAAGTGTAGGGACTCACGATGCCGTTTATGCACATATTTAATTGAGGGCGATTCAATCCACATCACTACAGATACAAAATTTTATGTGAAGTCCAGTATGTGATATATCTAATAATATGCAATGGGTGTTCTGAAAAATTAATTGGGAAAACTGATGACCAACTAAATATTAGAATGAATGAATCTCCATCGTTCGCAAATTAGGCAGCCATAAAACAGTACCCATTTGGATAATTACGGACGAGGCGTATTCAAGGTTTTCCCTCTTTACAAGGAAAATTCTAAAAATAGTCATTCATTAGAATGTAAAGAAATGAATTTTATTTAAAAATATATGCCCTCCTTAAATCGGAAAATTGGATAATTGAATATTAATAATGTAAGATGTTATATTTTATTATATTTTGCTATCTGGAATTGTACTTAATTGATCTGATATTTTTTCCTGTTTCGTAACTATGCTCTGACGTAACGTCATTGTCTTATATTACATTATAATATAATGTAATATTATTATATCAATATGGCCTGAAGAGGTTCAAGAGAACTGAAAACGTTAGCCATAAACATGTGTTTATTTTATTTTTTTTTCAAAGTAATTTTTTATATATTTCTCTGGGAGTAGTTCAAAGGACCTTTTTTTATGAATAGTCCCAAGACGAACGAAAAGTACCGTACTTTAAAATGTTAAAATGTTATTAAACCAGTGTTGAAATCAGTTTGTGTCGGCATACCTTTTTTTATATATCTTTTCATCAACAAACAAAGTAGTGCAGCTTTGCACAACCGTGAAGCTGCACAACTCTTCGTTTCACGGTAAACGATGAAAAGGTAAAAGGTATGCCGACACAAACTGATTTCAAGTTACAGATAACTACTCTTAGATATAAAATGCACAAAAATAGTACTTTCGCTTATTTTATTAAGCTCTTCAGATAATCAAGATTTTGGTAATACAACAATGACTATGACGGCATAGCGTCATAGTAACACAGTAGTACACAGAGGGAACATAAATTAAATATCAAATCATACAACAATAACTAGGCCTATATGCAATGAAATTACTAGAATTTTGCATTAAAAGCTGGCCGATATTTGTCAATAAAATATACCTCTATGGCTTCTAAAAAATCCTTATTATTGCTATTAAGCTTGTACATCGGAAAAACGCTAAATTTGCAACCACCACAAACATCTATATGTCCATTATAGGATGATCCCCTTAGTGGACTTTGGATCCAAATCTGTTAATAATTGCAGCTTGTAAATCATTTACAGACAAAATATCAAAAAAAAGTGGGTGTGGCACCGCCGAAAGGGCTGGGGGAGGAGGGGTCGTGCACCAACAACAATAGTTACCGTCCTTAGGGAATAAGTATACCAAGTTCAAAGATAATATATTCAGAATTGTGACCTTCGGGCGCTAAAGACAAAAATTGGACGTGACTCGGCCCCTGGGGGGCGGGGCATTCACCAAAATCAATAGTTGACGCCCTTAGGCTATAAGGGATACATATGCCAAGTTCCAAGTTGATCCATTCAGAATTGCGGCCTGTAAACGATAAACATAAATAATTGGGCGTGGCTCTGCCCTGAGGGTCGGGCAAGGAGTTGTCGTCCTTAGGCTATAAAGAATACATATCCCAAGTTCAATGACGATCCATTAAGAATCGTGGCCTGTAGACAAAAATACTCTGCCCAGTTGGGCAATCAGCAAAAAAACAATAGGGGTCATCCTATAAGGAATAGGTATGCAAAGTTTCAAAAGGATCTGTTAAAAATTGTGGCCTGTAGGCGAAACAAAAGATACACAAACACTGGACGTGGCTCTGTCCCGGGGGGTCAGGCATGCACCAAAAATAATACAAGTCAACCTTAGGGTATAAGGAATAAAAAGAAAAAGGTTTTCAAGACGATTGATTAAGCATTGCGGGCTGTAAGTGACACACAGCCACACAAAAAGAAAATGGGCGTGGTTCTGCACCTGGGGGTCGGGCATGCACCAAAAACAACAAGGATCATCCTTGGGGTATAAGGAATAAGTATGTAAAGTTTTAAGATGATCACTTAAGAATTGTGGCCTGTAGCCGACACACAAAACGAAAATGGGCGTGGCTCTGCCCCTGAGGGTTGAGCATGCACCCCAAACGTTCCTAATGGTACAAAGAATAATTATGCAAAGTTTCAAGATGATATATTAAATGCGGCCTGTAGTCGATAAACAAATACAAGAAATGGGCGTGGCTCTGACCCTGGGGTATAAGGAATAAGTATGTAAAGTTTCAAGATGATCACGTAAGGATTGTTGCCTGTAGGCGACCCACAGTCACCCCCCCACCCACACACACACACACACACACACACAGACACACACAGAGGGGCGACGGCATAATACGTCAATATTATGAATGTAGACGTATAAAAATCGGCTCCCTAAGGATTGTTGCCATTTGGAGTAGGTAGGATCAATATTGATTTGAAGAGGTTTTTTTTGTAAAATCCAATATGGCGGCCAATTTGTTGAAAATGTTATTGAACAAGGTCTTTGAAAGTGAAAGATAATATCTGTCATATTTTGTCTATTTTCAAAATGGAGAGAACTATTCACGTTCGAAAAAAATCGGAGGCCTCGGTAATTTCCGGAAGCCATCACAAAATATTTGAATATGCCATTTTGAAGGCATCGATGTGTTCTTTTTTTCCTACCTAGTTTCACCTTGATAATCAAATAATGACGGACATACACCATCTTGAATGTCGAAAAAATGACGAAGAAAACTTTCGTAAATAATTGGTGCTAATATTAATCGAACGAACTTCCGAATTTCGAAAACCGTTTATTTTGATACCACATACATGTTAGTGCAGAGCGACGACGAAGTGTGATTCGCCCGGGCCCAAATCCAATGGCCTGAAACATCCACATCTTCATGCTGGTTACTTTCGCAATACGCAAAATAGAATTGAGGTATCATGTCTCAAACAAGGTTTGCTGAGATGGCTGATTTGGTATGGTGTTTACTTAGTAACCAGGAAGTCCAGAGATCGGTAAGAAAGTTTCTCATGGATTTTCTTGCCCGGGTTCCCCTCGTTGGTGATATAGGACTGAGGCTCATGTATACCATTGGCAGCACGAAAAAAAACCGTGTATGAGCGTCTTCATTAACAAAGGTACCGTACAGAAAAGCAGGGCTTTAAACCCCTTTTTATTTTATTTTAATGTCGATTAAAGGTCAAAGACAAGTTAAGACTTGGCTTTCTTGGATTAAAAACTTAGACTTTCAACACTCTTAATAAAACCGGAAGTTATACTTCAAGACCAAATGTTTTGATATTAGTTGTTAGTAGACGTTAGGATCGTCATATGTTTAAAGGTCAAGGGCCATTGAACGGTTAGGTCAGCAGATAGTAGGTCAAAAGTCGAAAAAACTTCAAAGTTAAATTGGAATCAAAATGGCGGCTGAATATCGTTTTAAAGATTTTTTGTAAAATCCGATTTGGCGACCAAACGGTTGACATGTTATCGAACAAGGTCTTTGAAAATGAAACATAATATCTGTGGCTAACACCATCCTATGTCAGTTTTGGTATATCTTTAAAATGGAGATATATATATATATGTTTAACTCAAATTTAAATATAACGCACCACGGTAATTTTAAGTTCAACTTAGTGAGAAAATTTCCACTGATTTAATGTGGTGGCTCAACTTTAAGGAAATGTCTATAATACGAAAAATACTGGGATATAAGCCGGAACTTCCTGGTTGTAAGTCAGTGCCTTATATACTGAGACTTTGTATACATATAATTTGGGGGAGTATGAAGAACGTTTGTCAGTATTTGTTGCATCAACAGAGGTGAATTCACAGAGCAAAGTTAGTTTATTTATACAGCCATTTTGCGAAACCCCATAGTCGGCGTATCTACCCAGGCGGCCTCTAAAGCGTGATTAAAGAATATGTCTATCATAGCACAAAACCCGACCTGGGGTAACCTGGATATTCAATTTTGACGAATTACGATAATCAGTAGTAAATAAATTCTAAAACCTAGCCCTTTACATATTACAAAGACCATGATCATCAGCTTAAATCTTACCTTCACATGCATTATCAGCATTACACACTTGTTGTTTAGCAGAACAATCAGCGTTTGAATTGCATTCTGTAAAATATAATCGCATATCAATATTACACAAATCTATTATAGACGAAGAGTTTTAAAATCATTTATCAAGGAACCTCCGATCGTACTAACGTCGAGAGCAACCTGCCACAGCCAGCATTGACTAATGATAATTGATTAAGTTTTTATCTAAGGTCGGATGGAATTTTTAATAACACCAACTGCCAATGACTACCGGCAAATTTTATCTGAGAATCTTGAAATGGTCACGAACTTTTAATGTATTTTACAATGCGGTAAAATATCTGTAACTAATTTGTGACCAATTTCGAGTTTATCAGTCAATTTTGTAAATCTTGAAAGGCTACAGAATCAAACAGTAATACTAATTTAATTATGAATAATCTAAAATAGAGATTAATTTGGAATATAGACTGAAAATCGACAAAGAGTGGGAGAATATTTAGACAACCACGAATTAGAACTCGATATCGGTCCATTTCAATCAATATTGATGTTATTATCTTGACTGAAAAAATATGCGATCCGAATATCCACTATTTAAGATGCATTAAACGTTTTTAAATCACTACATTAATGGCTTTCTAATACCATCTGTAAAAACCAAAGAAAAACATATTCCTGAAGACAATGCGGAATTAATTAAAAATGACCGATTCAATAACGAAAAAAAACAATAAGCAGGCGCAAATGACTGTTGTGGATGGACATTGAATTTTAACTCTCATTAAATTTTGGAGGTTTAGGGGGCAGCACAGGTTACAAAACTTAAGACTTGGCTTTCAAAAATGATCTAGGAGTAAAATATGTGTTGCATACCTCAAACCTTTTGGACTCAATATTTCGATTAAATCTCACCGACTCCCGGGTTATATTGACTCTATCCTAAATGAATTATATCTTTCAGGGAGAGAATTGTCTTTATTTGCACAAGTTCATCACAGATTAAGTCAACCGTGCTTGCAGATATGCACAGGTCTGACCCACGATTGGGCTCACAGGTAACGAGATATTTAGTCTCTATCAATCAGAAAGGTATTCTACGAACATTAGTTTGGATGCGTTGTCAACATTTGAGAAAAACAGATCATTGGCTAGAGTATACGGTCGTTTACATTATCATAAACAGAGTCTAATTGACGCCCATGAAGTTAATTCAAGAATGACATTTCAAATAATCCATTTGCTTTGCATGCCAGTTCAATATCCAGCACTCTTATTTTTTTTATTGTGTAGTTTCTCTCTTCATGGACCATATCTATGTTTTTTAAATTAATCCTAATTCGTCGTCACGATTCATGTTTGTTTTTATTAATGCAACAACTATGGGATTTATTGGGAAAAGGGGCGCAACTCTTACGTGGCTTGTCCAGAAGATACTGGACAATCAACCACATTAAAAACAAAACTCCCGGTTAAACATGGGCAGTGGACCTTTGATATTTGACATTGGTCCCAGACCGTACGTTGAAGACTACGAAAACCCGAGGTCACGCGTACACTTTTGTGTGCACGTAAAAGATCCCTTGGCGGATGGAATTGGATATAAGAGTAGACCGTGGCGCCACTGTCCGGGTACAATTTCCCTCGTAGCACACTTTATGGTGTATGCCAGTCTTCATTAACCCAGTCGGAGCAGAACAGTAAGACATTAAACCCCATTTCATTTTATTTAACGGGACTGAGGGTAAAGGCTTTTTTTATAAATTATTTCTTTCAAATTCGATGATACGACCTTCCATTCCTGAGGTACCCCCCCCCCCCCCCTTTGATTTCCTAAAACTTTTGAACGCGATATATACTCCACCTTACGCCTATCATCCCCTCCTTTCCCGAGGTTACAGTTCTTGACAGATTGGTGGTGATTTAAAGACCGGGGTATTACTGTAACACTTACCTACACATACTTTAAGATCGCCAGCACTGCATACTGGTGTAGCAGTAGTAGCAGAACAATCAGAATCGCTAGTGCACGCTGAAAAATATCATTCAAAAACACTATAGCATGTTTTATATTCTACTAATTTCTGCTTATTAAAATAGCAAGCCAGTCCTCTCTTCATGACAGCGGGTTATTTCTTAAGAAAATCTCGTTCCTTATTAACCCAATATTGGGTCGGATGTATAAGATCGTTGCATATCTGTCGACTGCAATAAACCTGAGCATATAAAGAAAGTTTCTCCCTCAAACCTATAACGCATCCAAATATATTTTAAGATAGATAAATAGAATCGATAGAGGGGTATTCTGCAGTGGGAGGAAACCGGGGGTCCAGGAGAAAACCATGCAAGTTGGGCAGGCGACTTTACTCCTTGTCATCGATTTGACTCAATAACATACCTTATGATCAGAAGCGGACAATTCTATTTTACTATGTGCTACAAATGATACCCAGAAGAACTTACGGTCTGAAAGTCGGGCGGCTTTGAATATATACAAGGGAATTTGGGGTTATTCTTCCAGGGTAGGCTTTTTCCATAAGAAAATATTATATAAGGTTTTTCTTACTGGAATTCTGGGATATTCTCATTTTATAAGCAAGATAAATTCCCCGACTTGTCCTCGACTTCGGTTATGCCGGGAAAGACTTCAGAAAAAACGTCGAAAGAAACACCGAAGCGTCCGGCCTTGGTTTTTCTTTTCCTCTGGTTATTTTCTTCAGTAATTTTTTCCGCGGAATAACTTCAGTCTCGTGCTTTATCCTACACTATATTGAAATTATCTTAACACACGCTGTAGGTTATACATTTTATTTTGTGTACTGACTATGTATTAGTGATGTTATAGTACTGTTTGACATACATTTAAATCAAACTGAAATCCACAGTCTTGCTTAAACATTATTACAAACGGTGCATTTTAAAAGAACCAAACCTTTAACTCATTATATTATTCAGATTATATGACATAAAAAACCATGAATTAGAATTCAATATCGATCCATATCAATCAAGATTGATGTTATTATAATCTTACTGTCAAATTATGCAATCCTAATATACACTATTTGAGACACATTGTTACATTATCGGGTCTTTAAGTCAGGTTCTGGACGACAACGCTGATTTAAACTTCATATAATACTTTTATTCTTCTTTAAACATATGTAAAAAACTGAAGACTCCGTAATTAGCTAGTGTTGAGGGAGACATGGTCCTAGCTTGGCTTGACACCCTTGGGTGCCAACTCCTAACTAACTTACATGGCTGCTGTCCGGTCTTAACTCGAGACCTGCCTGGTCACAAGCTAACTTCTAGGCACCCTCGTCTAGTGTCATCGCGTCTCGTCTCGTCTCTGGGTTTATAAACCCTTCTAGACAGAGGATGCCATTAAACATCTGGCTACTGCATCATGTCAGATTTAACATTCAGTACAGTTTGCGTATAAGACAAATGAAAATAAATAAAACAGGCCAACCATAAGTTCATAAGTTCAGGTTGATATTAAAATCAGTACCACTTTCACGTGTCAAGATGATCCCCTACTTTTGTCAGTCTACAAAAGACAAGATATGTGAGAGATCCTAGAAAGAAAAGCTTCGGCCAGGGTATCAGGGAAACAATCAAGGAACTGCGACTGGGGGAGCTCGTGATAAATGAACACGACCCCCCCCCCCCCCAACAATCGCTCCTTGGACGCTCCCTATACCGCCGGTCAATCTAGATCTACTACAGAAAACCGACAAGAAAAACAACCCCACTGCTGTACGTGCTTTCTCTCTAGAACACCTGGAAGACAACTGGCCATCTGATGACTGGGACCATGTGTACACGGATGGCTCACGCAACCCTGAAAGGGGCACAAGCTCGTTTGGAATATATCTGCTAAACGGGGAACAGGGAATAAGCAGGAAACTGCCCAATAACTGTTCAGTGTACATTGCAGAGCTTGTGGCCATTCGTGGCGCTATAACATGGATCTCCCATCAAAAGACTAGTAAGTTCGTCATTCCAAGCGACTCTCTGAGCAGTCTGATTTCAATCCAAAATGACAACTCAGACTCAAGACCAGAAGTCATTTTGGAAATCAGGCAGCTGTACCAGAGGGTCCTAGAGAAGGGAAGCAAATTAGAGCTCGTGTGGATTCCATCACATGTCAACATTAGAGGAAACGAGGAGGCAGATCGACTCGCCAACGAAGGTCTCAAGGACACAGCACCACTCCGCACCATAAACTACAGCACCACGGAAATCTACAGTATGGTTAAAAGACAAGTCAATTCATTCTGGGAATTAAAACTCGTTGAACTTGACACATACAGATTCCGACTGGATGACAAAATCTACACGAAGACAGCGATCAATCACCCTAGAAGAGATATATGCAGACTTATATCGAAACTAAGGGTGAAAGAGCGGCTGCGAGACTACAAACACCAAGTCATCGTCTGTGAGTGCGGAGAAGAATGTACCACCAACCATGTCCTGGTAGACTGCGGGGTATACAAGGAGGAGAGAAGGGAACTAGTGAGAATGATTGAGACTAACAACATACCATTCAACACTAAGAACTTACTCTTCCCGAGACCAGATCTGAAAAAATCCACGCCCTAATGGACACAGTTGGGCTAAGTGGATGGTGAAGTAAGAGGGGGTCACGGTTAGACGGGCTCGGCATCTAAACACTAAACTACATAGGGGATTTATACCAAACTGGCAGGATAGTGGAGTAAGGGAGAGTCACGATCAGACGGACTCGGCATCTAAACACTATTCTGGCAAAAATAGACATCAAACCTACAGAGTGAGATAGGGGAGTAAGGGGAGGTCACGATAAGACGGGCCTGGCACCTAAACACAAATCCCACAAAGATGACATCTACCAAACTAGCAGGATAGTGGAGTAAGGGGAGTTACGGGCAGACGGAATCGGGACCTAAACACTATTCCGCAAAAGAAACAGATACCAAATCCATAAAGTGGGATTTGTGGAGTAAGGGGAGGTCACGATAAGACGAGCCTGGCACCTAAACACTAATCCCACAACGAAGACATCTACCAATCCAGAAGCAGAAGAAAACATCTACCAAACGATATGTTTTTTACTAAATAAATGGAAGAACTTCCCACAAAACCCAATCCATGGTCTAAGGCCGAAAATGGAAAGATTGCAAAATCATATTCTAAAAACAGGAAGCAGCTTCGGCACTCCTATTTCTTGTCTGCAATATCACTTATGTGGAAGCAGACGTTAAACACAAGGATACTACTACTACCACTACGTGTCAAGATAGCACGAAGCGTATATAACATCTGTCATAATGTAACAACAGTGAACATTTTATATTACTGCACGACTTGTGTAGTCTATGGAAATCATGGTTTCGAGCGCCATATTGTTAGTGACCCCACTTTGGTCAGGTAGGACCCATGATATTCATAGATACAGGATTATACCGATGATTTAAGGAGTATGATCACCCTGTCAGTTTTAGATGACCAAGATCCTGTGTAATTCTGTCAACTTTGGAATTAATACAACAACGCCCAGAAGACATCCATACGGGACTGTCTACAAACTACTACTTCCAAGCCGAGAGCAAAGACGACTTCAAACGAATACTGGTAAAATTGGACTGAATACTGACGACTGTTTAAACACGATGAAAGCACTAGCCGGAAATTGAATTTTCATTTTTTTTCAATACTTCGATCGTGTATTTGTAAACTACAATCGATACTCGGAGATTTAAAAAAAAACCCTAGGTGATTGTTGAATGACCGTTCGTGTGTGTTCATGTGTGTATGTATCCGTTGGGTAAGGGGTGGGGTGGGGTATGGTATGGTATGGTGTGGTATAGGAAAATGACTGCCAAAATATCGGACATGTTGAAATACAATCATTTTACTGGTAATGTATCTGCTACTTATTAGGTAAATTAGTTGTTTGTGTACGATAACGTATCTGTTACCTAATTTACGTTAAATTGTTTAAATAGGGCTTAACTGTGTATTATTACATTAGTTGAATAGGGAGTTCGGTTTTACCTTTCAATAAGTTTTATCATTATCTAAACACTTACCATCTACACACAATGCCTTAGCTGGGTCATATACTTCCGTGCTTTGACATGCTGAAAATATGAACGTGGCCATCATTATTTTACAATAACAAAAGAACAACTATTAACTATCATACATTTACGGTCACGGTTTCAAGAAAACTGAAAACGTTCACTTGACAAAAGAAACTTACCAATTGACATCCAGTAACTGTGTGTATAGTAAAATGTCGTTTTTGAGATATTTTATAGAAAACAATCAAAAAGATTCGTATCGAAATTTAGCATCCTTACTATCATACAGTGTCAAAAATGATCGAAATAACCCTTTATTAGAGTAATAGACTCTTTTATTACTGTTGACAGTTGAATGGAACTCCAAATCCACATTCCATATGATATTGCGCTTGAAGAGTTATAGTAGACATTCACAACATAAACGACAGACAAAGGCAAATAGACTTAAAACAAAAAAGTAAACACCTTCTTTGCTATTATGATTCAGACTGAATTCCTTGACCAGTCCTAATATCAACAAAAAGTATAAAATGCTCATAACTCTAAACGGCAATATAACTTATAAATTCTAAACCCTAGCCCTTTACATATAATATCACAGATCACGATGACCAGCTTAAATATACGTTATGGGAGATAAGGTAACGAGATTGCAGTTCTTGCTATAATAGTTAAAAACTAGATAGTGTAAAGGTAATTTGCTGAAAATTTCAGTCAAATTGATCCACCATGAGCCGAGAAAGAAGCTCGTGAAATTTTGGCATAGTCTCGGTCATCATTACTAAAATCATTAATATAAACAGCAAGTCTCGATTATCCGCTTTTCGTGACTTAATTATCAACGGCCGTTAGCGGCATATAGGAATCTAATCCAGCCAACATCGAAGGCTAGCCTTGACATCGAGGGTTTATTATGGTCTGGATAAGTTAATTAATGTCTAATTGATAATTTAGATAACATTTCAGGCCTAAAGAAAGACTTGTAATAAGCAGATTTTGCTCTTGCATAATGCATGTTTAAGTCTCACCTTCACATGCATTATCAGTATTACACACTTGTTTAGCAGAACAATCAGCGTTCAAATTGCATCCTGTAAAATATAATCGCATATCAATATTACACAAATCTATAATAGACGAAGAGTTTTAAGAGATAAATATTAACCTAATCGAGGGTTGATATGTTAAATAACCCAAGGCCGGAGTTAGGGTAGATATCAGATATCACCCTCTGATGACGTCACTACAGGTTGATACGTTTCATAACATGCATGGGAGATCAAAGGAAATATCATCCCAAGGTGTGTAAAATCATTTATCAACGAAGCTAAGGTCGTACTACCATTGAGAGCAACCTGACACAGCCAGCATTCAATAATGACAGGTGACTGGGTTTGTATCTAAGGTCAGATGGAATGTTTAATACCACCAACTGCCAATGACTACCGACAACTGTTATCTGAGAATCTTAATCTGGATTACAAATATATTTGAAGTGGATTTTTTTAACGGGTCATGAACTTTTAATGTATTTTACAATGCGGTAAAATATCTATTACTAATTTGTGACCAATTTCGAGTTTATCAATCAATTTTGTAAATCTTGAAAGGCTACAGAATCAAACAGTAATAATAATTTACTTATGAATAATCTAAAATAGAGATTAATTGGGAATATAATCGTAAAATCAGCAAGGGGTGGGAGAATTTATTTATTCATCTAAACTTGTAGTTGATAAAGAGATAATACAAGATAGTTCTGTTGCAAATCAACGTTTGGGAGAAACAGAACACTACTTTATGCAAACCCAACGGAATAAACGGCAGGTATATACTGTAGTGTATACCCTACCCATAAGCAGAAATATCGGCACAGAAATTATTAAATATAAGTTAGGGCCATCTGATTTCTATTGTTTCCGCTATAATGGGATATAGACGAAGAGAGTTTCAATTGAATTTGAATTCAATGTTTACATTAGATTTATTTCAAATTTGGAATATAGCATTGGGGTCACAGCAGGGTGAACTCTATCGATGCTGAATGAACGAATCCTATATTCCATGACCTATCATCCCCTCCTTTCCCGAGGTTACAGTTCTTAACAGATTGGTGGTGATTTAAAGACCTGGGTATTAGTGTAACACTTACCTACACATACATTAAGATCGCCAGTACGGCATACTGGTTTATCAGTAATACCAGAACAATCATTATCGGTAGTGCACGCTGAAAAATATAATTCAAAAACATTATATTTAAATAGCAGGCCAGTCCTGTCTTCATAAAATGGAGTAATTTCTTAGGAACATTATTAACCCAATGTATAAGATCGTTGTATATCTGTCGACTGCATCCACGGTTGACCTAATCTGTAATAAACCTGTGCATATAAAGAAAGTTTCTCCCTCAAACCTATAACGCATCCAAATATATTTTAAGATAGATAAATAGAATCGATAGAGGGGTATTCAGCAGTGGGAGTAAACCGGGAGTCCAGGAGAAAACCATGGAAGTTGGGCAGACGACTTTACTCCTTGTCACGTACAAACTTGGGATCGACTTGGCGCAATGACATACCTTATATTTATACATGTCGTATGAAGCCACATACAGTAAACAAAATTCAACTATGAACTCTCTTTGAAAAGAGTTGTCGGGTAACGATCGGCCATTTTGATTACTCCCCTTTGTTTTAATCACGCAACATCAAATAATCACCGCTAATCTATTTGTTAGGGTTAATTAATATGACGAATAAAGACAAGATAAAGGCTTTATTATCGGCAATTAACAATCAGTTGAAACCGTTAATCCCAGACAATTGTTTAGTATTACTCATGACACGTTCGGGATTATCAGCAAGTTGATTGATATATAGTATACCGCTATGGTTAATCAAGGATAAATACGATTAGAATTTTAAGGATTTTTTTTCGCCAATTCTAAAAAAGAATCGCCAGTACCCCAATTACATTAGTTGAATAGGGAGTTCGGTTTTTAGCTTTCATTAAGTTTTATCATTATCTATACACTTACCTATTGCACACGATGCCCTAGCTGGGTCATATACTTCAGTGCTTTGACATGCTGAAAAATGAACGTGGATATCATTATTTTACAATATTTTACAACAAAAGAACAACAATTAACTATCATATATCTACGATCACGATTTTAAGAAAAGATAATAATTATAGAAAAGGGCATCATTTCAAATGGAGTCTATTATGTTAGTAGGTACAGGGGTTATACGAAAGCAAACATATTTCAATGACCAGGAAAATCTCTCGATCAGGAATGTATTGGTTCTTACAAACATTTCTCAAATACAACTTTTAAATTGTAATCCTTACATTAGTCAGTAACCAAAATAATGTTTCTTTGTAGATTAATCGTGGGTATTATTCTGGAGTTCAAGGTTGTAGACAATTTTCAAAACTGATAACGTTCACTTGACAAAAGAAACTTACCAATTGGCATCCATTAACTGTGTGTATAGTAAAATGTCGTTTTTGAGATATTTTATAGAAAACAATCAAAACGATTCGTATTGAAATTTAGCATGCCTTATTGATATTTGTTTATATTTCAAAATACAAATTAAAGAAGATTGACATCCTTACAATCATACAGTAATAGGGTAATAAACTGTTTTATTACTGTTGACGGTTGAATGGAACTCCAAATCCACATTTAATATGGTATTAGGCTTGAAGAGTTATAGTAGACATACACAACATAAACGACAGACAAAGGCAAATAGGCTTAAAACAAAAAAATAAACGCCTTCTTTGCTATTATGATTCAGACTGAATTCCTTGACCAGTCCTAATTAACAAAAAGTATAAAATGCTCATAACTCTAAACGGCAATATAACTTAAGACTTTAGGTTCTATTAGTAAAATCCCCATTTTAAAATTTCACAATTAATGTGAACGTATATTGATGTCAACTCTGCACACGTATTCAAGGAACTGCATTAATCTCAAGTAACTCAACTTTAAGGAAATGTCTCTAAAACATGAAATGTCTTGCACACTGAGGGCTTCTGTCTAAATGAAACTTTGTACATATAATTTTGGGGAGTATGAAGAACGCGTGTCAATATTTGTTGCATCCACAGAGGTGAATTCACAGAGCAAAGTTAACAACCAAAACTGAAGTTCATTTATACAGCCATTTCCGAAACCCCATAGTGGACGTATCCGCCCAGGGGGGGGGGGGGGGCTCTAATGCGCGATTAAAGAATATTTCTATCATAGCACAAAACCTGACCTAGGGTAACCTGGATATTTATTTTTAATGAATTACGGCTTAAGTCTCACCTTCACATACATTTTCAGCATTACACACCCCTGCACACGTATTCAAGAAACTGCATTAATCTCAAGTAACTCAACTTTGAGGAAATGTCTCTAAAACGGGAAATGCTGGGATAGAAACGGGATCTTTCTGGTTTGTAAGTCGGTGACTTGCACACTGAGCAACCAGGGCTTTTGTCTAAATGAAACTTTGTACATATGGTTTTGGGGAGTATGAAGAACGCGTGTCAATAATTGTTGCATCCACAGAGGTGAATTCACAGAGCAAAGTTAACATCCAAAACTGTAGTTCATTTATAGAGCCATTTCCGAAACGCCATAGCAAACGTATCCGCCCAAGCGGCCGCTAAAGCATGATTAAATAATATTCTATCATAGCACAAAACCTGACTTGAATTACGGCTAATCAGTAAGTGGTAAATAAATTCTAAACCCTAGCCCTTTACATGACTAGCTTAAGTCTCACCTTCACATACATTTTCAGCATTACACACTTTTTGTTGATTAGAACAATCAGCGTTGGAATTGCATCCTGTAAAATATAATCGCATATCAATATTACACAAATCTATAATAGACGAAGAGATAAATATTACTCTAATCGAGGGTTGATATGTGAAATAACCCAAGGCCGGAGTTAGGGTAGATATCAGATATCACCCTCTGATGACGTCACTACAGGTTGATACGTTTCATAACATGTATGGGAGATCAAAGGAAATAACATCCCAAGGTGTGTAAAATAGTTTATCAACGAACCTCGGGTCGTACTACCATTGAGAGCAACCTGGCACAGTCATCATTCACTAATGACAGGTGTCTGGGTTTTTATCTAAGGTCAGATGGAATTTTAATTACCATCAACTGCCAGTGACTACCGACAACTGTTATCTGAGAATCTTAATCTCTGGATTACAAAAAATATTTGAAATGGATTTTTTTAACGGGTCATGAACTTTTAATGTATTTTACAATGCGGTAAAATATCTATAACTAATTTGTGACCAATTTCGAGTTTATCAGTCAATTTAGTAAATCTTGAAAGGCTACAGATTCAAACAGTAATAATAATTTAATTATGAATAATCTAAAATAGAGATTAATTGGGAATATGATCTTATAATCAGCAAGGAGTGGGAGAATTTATTTATTTATCTAAACTTGTAGTTGATAAAGCGATAATACAAGATAGTTCTGTTGCAAATCAACGTTTGGGAGAAACAGAACAATACTTTATGCAAACCCAACGGAATAAACGGCAGGTATATACTGTAGTGTATACCCTACCCATAAGCAGAAATATCGGCACAGAAATTATTAAATATAAGTTAGGGCCATCTGATTTCTATTGTTTCCGCTATAATGGGATATAGACGAAGAGAGTTTCAATTGAATTTGAATTCAATGTTTACATTAGATTTATTTCAAATTTGGAATATAGCATTGGGGTCACAGCAGGGTGAACTCTATCGATGCTGAATGAACGAATCCTATATTCCATGACCTATCATCCCCTCCTTTCCCGAGGTTACAGTTCTTAACAGATTGGTGGTGATTTAAAGACCTGGGTATTAGTGTAACACTTACCTACACATACATTAAGATCGCCAGTACGGCATACTGGTTTATCAGTAATACCAGAACAATCATTATCGGTAGTGCACGCTGAAAAATATAATTCAAAAACATTATATTTAAATAGCAGGCCAGTCCTGTCTTCATAAAATGGAGTAATTTCTTAGGAACATTATTAACCCAATGTATAAGATCGTTGTATATCTGTCGACTGCATCCACGGTTGACCTAATCTGTAATAAACCTGTGCATATAAAGAAAGTTTCTCCCTCAAACCTATAACGCATCCAAATATATTTTAAGATAGATAAATAGAATCGATAGAGGGGTATTCAGCAGTGGGAGTAAACCGGGAGTCCAGGAGAAAACCATGGAAGTTGGGCAGACGACTTTACTCCTTGTCACGTACAAACTTGGGATCGACTTGGCGCAATGACATACCTTATATTTATACATGTCGTATGAAGCCACATACAGTAAACAAAATTCAACTATGAACTCTCTTTGAAAAGAGTTGTCGGGTAACGATCGGCCATTTTGATTACTCCCCTTTGTTTTAATCACGCAACATCAAATAATCACCGCTAATCTATTTGTTAGGGTTAATTAATATGACGAATAAAGACAAGATAAAGGCTTTATTATCGGCAATTAACAATCAGTTGAAACCGTTAATCCCAGACAATTGTTTAGTATTACTCATGACACGTTCGGGATTATCAGCAAGTTGATTGATATATAGTATACCGCTATGGTTAATCAAGGATAAATACGATTAGAATTTTAAGGATTTTTTTTCGCCAATTCTAAAAAAGAATCGCCAGTACCCCAATTACATTAGTTGAATAGGGAGTTCGGTTTTTAGCTTTCATTAAGTTTTATCATTATCTATACACTTACCTATTGCACACGATGCCCTAGCTGGGTCATATACTTCAGTGCTTTGACATGCTGAAAAATGAACGTGGATATCATTATTTTACAATATTTTACAACAAAAGAACAACAATTAACTATCATATATCTACGATCACGATTTTAAGAAAAGATAATAATTATAGAAAAGGGCATCATTTCAAATGGAGTCTATTATGTTAGTAGGTACAGGGGTTATACGAAAGCAAACATATTTCAATGACCAGGAAAATCTCTCGATCAGGAATGTATTGGTTCTTACAAACATTTCTCAAATACAACTTTTAAATTGTAATCCTTACATTAGTCAGTAACCAAAATAATGTTTCTTTGTAGATTAATCGTGGGTATTATTCTGGAGTTCAAGGTTGTAGACAATTTTCAAAACTGATAACGTTCACTTGACAAAAGAAACTTACCAATTGGCATCCATTAACTGTGTGTATAGTAAAATGTCGTTTTTGAGATATTTTATAGAAAACAATCAAAACGATTCGTATTGAAATTTAGCATGCCTTATTGATATTTGTTTATATTTCAAAATACAAATTAAAGAAGATTGACATCCTTACAATCATACAGTAATAGGGTAATAAACTGTTTTATTACTGTTGACGGTTGAATGGAACTCCAAATCCACATTTAATATGGTATTAGGCTTGAAGAGTTATAGTAGACATACACAACATAAACGACAGACAAAGGCAAATAGGCTTAAAACAAAAAAATAAACGCCTTCTTTGCTATTATGATTCAGACTGAATTCCTTGACCAGTCCTAATTAACAAAAAGTATAAAATGCTCATAACTCTAAACGGCAATATAACTTAAGACTTTAGGTTCTATTAGTAAAATCCCCATTTTAAAATTTCACAATTAATGTGAACGTATATTGATGTCAACTCTGCACACGTATTCAAGGAACTGCATTAATCTCAAGTAACTCAACTTTAAGGAAATGTCTCTAAAACATGAAATGTCTTGCACACTGAGGGCTTCTGTCTAAATGAAACTTTGTACATATAATTTTGGGGAGTATGAAGAACGCGTGTCAATATTTGTTGCATCCACAGAGGTGAATTCACAGAGCAAAGTTAACAACCAAAACTGAAGTTCATTTATACAGCCATTTCCGAAACCCCATAGTGGACGTATCCGCCCAGGGGGGGGGGGGGGCTCTAATGCGCGATTAAAGAATATTTCTATCATAGCACAAAACCTGACCTAGGGTAACCTGGATATTTATTTTTAATGAATTACGGCTTAAGTCTCACCTTCACATACATTTTCAGCATTACACACCCCTGCACACGTATTCAAGAAACTGCATTAATCTCAAGTAACTCAACTTTAAGGAAATGTCTCTAAAACGGGAAATGCTGGGATAGAAACGGGATCTTTCTGGTTTGTAAGTCGGTGACTTGCACACTGAGCAACCAGGGCTTTTGTCTAAATGAAACTTTGTACATATGGTTTTGGGGAGTATGAAGAACGCGTGTCAATAATTGTTGCATCCACAGAGGTGAATTCACAGAGCAAAGTTAACATCCAAAACTGTAGTTCATTTATAGAGCCATTTCCGAAACGCCATAGCAAACGTATCCGCCCAAGCGGCCGCTAAAGCATGATTAAATAATATTCTATCATAGCACAAAACCTGACTTGAATTACGGCTAATCAGTAAGTGGTAAATAAATTCTAAACCCTAGCCCTTTACATGACTAGCTTAAGTCTCACCTTCACATACATTTTCAGCATTACACACTTTTTGTTGATTAGAACAATCAGCGTTGGAATTGCATCCTGTAAAATATAATCGCATATCAATATTACACAAATCTATAATAGACGAAGAGATAAATATTACTCTAATCGAGGGTTGATATGTGAAATAACCCAAGGCCGGAGTTAGGGTAGATATCAGATATCACCCTCTGATGACGTCACTACAGGTTGATACGTTTCATAACATGTATGGGAGATCAAAGGAAATAACATCCCAAGGTGTGTAAAATAGTTTATCAACGAACCTCGGGTCGTACTACCATTGAGAGCAACCTGGCACAGTCATCATTCACTAATGACAGGTGTCTGGGTTTTTATCTAAGGTCAGATGGAATTTTAATTACCATCAACTGCCAGTGACTACCGACAACTGTTATCTGAGAATCTTAATCTCTGGATTACAAAAAATATTTGAAATGGATTTTTTTAACGGGTCATGAACTTTTAATGTATTTTACAATGCGGTAAAATATCTATAACTAATTTGTGACCAATTTCGAGTTTATCAGTCAATTTAGTAAATCTTGAAAGGCTACAGATTCAAACAGTAATAATAATTTAATTATGAATAATCTAAAATAGAGATTAATTGGGAATATGATCTTATAATCAGCAAGGAGTGGGAGAATTTATTTATTTATCTAAACTTGTAGTTGATAAAGCGATAATACAAGATAGTTCTGTTGCAAATCAACGTTTGGGAGAAACAGAACAATACTTTATGCAAACCCAACGGAATAAACGGCAGGTATATACTGTAGTGTATACCCTACCCATAAGCAGAAATATCGGCACAGAAATTATTAAATATAAGTTAGGGCCATCTGATTTCTATTGTTTCCGCTATAATGGGATATAGACGAAGAGAGTTTCAATTGAATTTGAATTCAATGTTTACATTAGATTTATTTCAAATTTGGAATATAGCATTGGGGTCACAGCAGGGTGAACTCTATCGATGCTGAATGAACGAATCCTATATTCCATGACCTATCATCCCCTCCTTTCCCTAGGTTACAGTTCTTAACAGATTGGTGGTGATTTAAAGACCTGGGTATTAGTGTAACACTTACCTACACATACATTAAGATCGCCAGTACGGCATACTGGTTTATCAGTAATACCAGAACAATCATTATCGGTAGTGCACGCTGAAAAATATAATTCAAAAACATTATATTTAAATAGCAGGCCAGTCCTGTCTTCATAAAATGGAGTAATTTCTTAGGAACATTATTAACCCAATGTATAAGATCGTTGTATATCTGTCGACTGCATCCACGGTTGACCTAATCTGTAATAAACCTGTGCATATAAAGAAAGTTTCTCCCTCAAACCTATAACGCATCCAAATATATTTTAAGATAGATAAATAGAATCGATAGAGGGGTATTCAGCAGTGGGAGTAAACCGGGAGTCCAGGAGAAAACCATGGAAGTTGGGCAGACGACTTTACTCCTTGTCACGTACAAACTTGGGATCGACTTGGCGCAATGACATACCTTATATTTATACATGTCGTATGAAGCCACATACAGTAAACAAAATTCAACTATGAACTCTCTTTGAAAAGAGTTGTCGGGTAACGATCGGCCATTTTGATTACTCCCCTTTGTTTTAATCACGCAACATCAAATAATCACCGCTAATCTATTTGTTAGGGTTAATTAATATGACGAATAAAGACAAGATAAAGGCTTTATTATCGGCAATTAACAATCAGTTGAAACCGTTAATCCCAGACAATTGTTTAGTATTACTCATGACACGTTCGGGATTATCAGCAAGTTGATTGATATATAGTATACCGCTATGGTTAATCAAGGATAAATACGATTAGAATTTTAAGGATTTTTTTTCGCCAATTCTAAAAAAGAATCGCCAGTACCCCAATTACATTAGTTGAATAGGGAGTTCGGTTTTTAGCTTTCATTAAGTTTTATCATTATCTATACACTTACCTATTGCACACGATGCCCTAGCTGGGTCATATACTTCAGTGCTTTGACATGCTGAAAAATGAACGTGGATATCATTATTTTACAATATTTTACAACAAAAGAACAACAATTAACTATCATATATCTACGATCACGATTTTAAGAAAAGATAATAATTATAGAAAAGGGCATCATTTCAAATGGAGTCTATTATGTTAGTTGGTACAGGGGTTATACGAAAGCAAACATATTTCAATGACCAGGAAAATCTCTCGATCAGGAATGTATTGGTTCTTACAAACATTTCTCAAATACAACTTTTAAATTGTAATCCTTACATTAGTCAGTAACCAAAATAATGTTTCTTTGTAGATTAATCGTGGGTATTATTCTGGAGTTCAAGGTTGTAGACAATTTTCAAAACTGATAACGTTCACTTGACAAAAGAAACTTACCAATTGGCATCCATTAACTGTGTGTATAGTAAAATGTCGTTTTTGAGATATTTTATAGAAAACAATCAAAACGATTCGTATTGAAATTTAGCATGCCTTATTGATATTTGTTTATATTTCAAAATACAAATTAAAGAAGATTGACATCCTTACAATCATACAGTAATAGGGTAATAAACTGTTTTATTACTGTTGACGGTTGAATGGAACTCCAAATCCACATTTAATATGGTATTAGGCTTGAAGAGTTATAGTAGACATACACAACATAAACGACAGACAAAGGCAAATAGGCTTAAAACAAAAAAATAAACGCCTTCTTTGCTATTATGATTCAGACTGAATTCCTTGACCAGTCCTAATTAACAAAAAGTATAAAATGCTCATAACTCTAAACGGCAATATAACTTAAGACTTTAGGTTCTATTAGTAAAATCCCCATTTTAAAATTTCACAATTAATGTGAACGTATATTGATGTCAACTCTGCACACGTATTCAAGGAACTGCATTAATCTCAAGTAACTCAACTTTAAGGAAATGTCTCTAAAACATGAAATGTCTTGCACACTGAGGGCTTCTGTCTAAATGAAACTTTGTACATATAATTTTGGGGAGTATGAAGAACGCGTGTCAATATTTGTTGCATCCACAGAGGTGAATTCACAGAGCAAAGTTAACAACCAAAACTGAAGTTCATTTATACAGCCATTTCCGAAACCCCATAGTGGACGTATCCGCCCAGGGGGGGGGGGGGGCTCTAATGCGCGATTAAAGAATATTTCTATCATAGCACAAAACCTGACCTAGGGTAACCTGGATATTTATTTTTAATGAATTACGGCTTAAGTCTCACCTTCACATACATTTTCAGCATTACACACCCCTGCACACGTATTCAAGAAACTGCATTAATCTCAAGTAACTCAACTTTAAGGAAATGTCTCTAAAACGGGAAATGCTGGGATAGAAACGGGATCTTTCTGGTTTGTAAGTCGGTGACTTGCACACTGAGCAACCAGGGCTTTTGTCTAAATGAAACTTTGTACATATGGTTTTGGGGAGTATGAAGAACGCGTGTCAATAATTGTTGCATCCACAGAGGTGAATTCACAGAGCAAAGTTAACATCCAAAACTGTAGTTCATTTATAGAGCCATTTCCGAAACGCCATAGCAAACGTATCCGCCCAAGCGGCCGCTAAAGCATGATTAAATAATATTCTATCATAGCACAAAACCTGACTTGAATTACGGCTAATCAGTAAGTGGTAAATAAATTCTAAACCCTAGCCCTTTACATGACTAGCTTAAGTCTCACCTTCACATACATTTTCAGCATTACACACTTTTTGTTGATTAGAACAATCAGCGTTGGAATTGCATCCTGTAAAATATAATCGCATATCAATATTACACAAATCTATAATAGACGAAGAGATAAATATTACTCTAATCGAGGGTTGATATGTGAAATAACCCAAGGCCGGAGTTAGGGTAGATATCAGATATCACCCTCTGATGACGTCACTACAGGTTGATACGTTTCATAACATGTATGGGAGATCAAAGGAAATAACATCCCAAGGTGTGTAAAATAGTTTATCAACGAACCTCGGGTCGTACTACCATTGAGAGCAACCTGGCACAGTCATCATTCACTAATGACAGGTGTCTGGGTTTTTATCTAAGGTCAGATGGAATTTTAATTACCATCAACTGCCAGTGACTACCGACAACTGTTATCTGAGAATCTTAATCTCTGGATTACAAAAAATATTTGAAATGGATTTTTTTAACGGGTCATGAACTTTTAATGTATTTTACAATGCGGTAAAATATCTATAACTAATTTGTGACCAATTTCGAGTTTATCAGTCAATTTAGTAAATCTTGAAAGGCTACAGATTCAAACAGTAATAATAATTTAATTATGAATAATCTAAAATAGAGATTAATTGGGAATATGATCTTATAATCAGCAAGGAGTGGGAGAATTTATTTATTTATCTAAACTTGTAGTTGATAAAGCGATAATACAAGATAGTTCTGTTGCAAATCAACGTTTGGGAGAAACAGAACAATACTTTATGCAAACCCAACGGAATAAACGGCAGGTATATACTGTAGTATATACCCTACCCATAAGCAGAAATATTGGCACAGAAATTATTAAATATACCATTTATGGCCATATATGGCCATCTGATTCTATTGTTTTCCGCTATAATGGGATATAGACGAAGAGAGTTTCAATTGAATTTGAATTCAATGTTTACATTAGATTTATTTCAAATTTGGAATATAGCATTGGGGTCACGGCAGGGTGAGCTCTATCGATGCTGAATGAACGAATCCTATAGATATTCAGTATTCCATGACCTATCATCCCCTCCTTTCCCAAGGTGACAGTTTTTAACAGATTGGTGGTGATTTAAAGACCAGGGTATTATTGTAACACTTACCTACACATACTTTAGCTTCGCTAGTACTGCATACTGGTGTAGCAGTATGATCAGTACAGTCACTATCGACAGTGCACTCTGAAAAATATCATTCAAAAACGCAATAGCATGTTTTATATTCTACTAATTTCTCCTTATTAAAGCGCATCCAAATATATTTTAAGATAGATAAATAGAATCGATAGAGGGGTATGCAGCAGTGGGAGGAAATCGGGGATCCAGGAGAAAACCATGGAAATTGGGCAGGTAGGTTTCTGGGGTTTTACGTCCACTTCCACCTAGGGTGATATCGTAGACAAGGAAATTGGGCAGGCGACTTTGCTCCTTGTCACGTACAAACTTGGGATCGACTTGACGCAATGACATACCTTATATGATAAGAAGCGGACAATTCTATTTTACTATGTGCTACGAATGATACCCAGAATAACTTACGGTCTGAAAGTCGGGGCGGCTTTGAATATATACAAGGGAATTTGGAGCAATATCTTCCAGGGTAGGTTTATTTTTCCATAAGAAAATATGAAATGAAATGAAATGAAATGGGGTTTAACGTCCTACTGTTCTGCTCCTAAACTGGGCTAATGAAGACGGGCATACGGCATACAGTGTGCTATGAGGACAATTTTTCCCGGGCAGCGGCACTACGGCCTACTCTTATATCGAATTCCAACTGCCAAGGGATCTTTTACGTGCAATGTGTACACGGGACCTTGTCTCTGATATAAGGTTTTTGTTACTGGAATTCTGGGATATTCTCATTTTACGTACCTGTAAACATAGACGGTTTATAAACAAGATAAAGTCCTCGACTTCGGTTATGCCGGGGAAGAAAGACTTCAGAAAAAACAACGTCGGGTTTTCTTTTCTTCGGGTCATTTTCTTCAGTCTTTCATTCCGCGGCATAACTCCAATCTCGTGCTTTATCGTACACTGTATTGAGATTATCTTAACACACGCTGTAGGTTATATATTATATTTTGTGTAGTGAATATGTATTAGTGATGTTATAGTACTGTTTGACATACATTTAAATCAAGCTGAAATCCACAGTCTTGCTTAAACATTATTACAAACGTTACGTGTTAAAAGAACCAAACCTTTAACTCAGTAAATTATTCAGATTATATGACATAAAAAACATGAATTAGAATTCAATATCGATCCATTTCAATCAAGATTGATGTTATTATCATACCGTAATTAAATCATTAAATGGCCATCGTATTTTAATCCGTTTACATCTACGCAATCCGATAATGTAGAGAGTTTTATTAAGGGCTTGTCATGTTAATAAATCTCTAAATAATAATTTATATAACATTTGAAGCCAAAATAAAATAAAAACTGTAATAGGCAGATTTAGCGCTTACATAATGCATCTTTAAACTACAACATAGCAAACCGCAATACCCCGATGTTTCGATAAACCAGTTTTGTAGTTTAGTGAATCGTTTATTAAAGCCTTATTTAACTTAATACCTCTATTATGTATAGTTTAATGGTCGAGAGCGAGACATAGTAATATATTGTAACAACAAGAGGCCGAGACCATTAAACGACTTAAAATACAGACACTCTGCACGTGCTTTTGCAATGAAATGCGTCACGCGAGTACAGTATTTCACTAGTATAAATAATGTACGATTCGCTATTTGCCCGTACCATTATTTGAAAGAATGGTACGCCAACATCAAAGGATGACGTCAAATCTGTATTTTAATAATTATTAACCATCAGCACCTACAACCAAAACAGAATTATACATAAAAAGAAATGACCTGTTAAATTTTTTTCAGATATACATTCCTTTATGTTATGTTTATTAGCGTATAGATAATCTTTACGTATACTTACCCACTGTGGCCACTGAAATGAAAGAAATTGAAAGGGTATAAGACTCATATATTATAAATCAAACCCGGGTGTCATTTTCTACCTAGTGAGCTGGCTGAAGAGGGACCATGGGGACTTGTGACCGAAATGTAATAACATCATAACATCCACACCATTTATTTATACTTTTAGGAATTACTCTGCCAAATGTTAATAAACTGATGTTTGAGTGATATCAATAGAACAATTTGATGATGATTTCAATATTGTTTTCTATAGCGTTCTGTTTATTGAAGTAAACATTTTATACTTACATGATGTTGGTATATAAACAGCCAAACAGACTGAAAGATAACAACACTTGTATTATTATAGAGTAATATCTTTGAATTAGATTTAGATACAGAACTGGTCACTCTAGCTATAACAGTTTATAACGTGATACTGAAAAATGAATATTTCAGTCGAATTACTTTATTCTGAACGAAGTTATGAATGTTTGAAGTTCTGACACGAATGGAATTAGAGAGTTGATTGTAGGTTTGGCATGTTAAAGACCTGAATATGCGGTTTAAGGTCTTACATTGTGCAATTTAAGTATGCAAATCAAACACAATGGAAACAAAAACAATGTCTGTTTTAGCTCAAAATGTTGAGTCGTGTGGATAAATTGCCAAAATAGAAATGATCGGGGGTTTAACGTCCTACTTTTCTGTGCCTTCAGGGCTAGTGTCTCGCAAGATGTAATGGAGTGGGGTGGGTTGTAGCAACGAATGTATTTTTATCATTGTTTGGATAAATTTCAATCCATATAGTTATCTGAATCGTTCACCTGTCCGAAGATGCCTCTCTGGCCGCTATACGAACGATTTACAACACAACAGAAAGCATATCGATATTTCTATTTTGTTCGCCGACATACAATATTGATAGTCCGTTTCAAGTACACCGTGAGTGTTCGACGGTTTGTATTCATATACGCTACACAAAATAAATGGTTCAAAATATGAATCAAAATCTATAAATATTAAATATGGCATTTCTTTCAGACAAAATAAACATATGTCAGTTTTACCTTTTTCTTTCCAATAATGTTAAGGCTTTGCTTTTCCACAAAAATTGAAAATGAAATTTTTGAAACGAAGGCATAAAATATTCATACAAAAATTTGAAAATTTACGGTCAGTATTTTTAAATTTGATATTTCCGGGAAACTATTGTAAAAATATATATAAACAGGCATTAGTACTTTGAAAATGTTCGTTAGTTGTTAAAACATAAATTTTTGTTTTGACGTAATTTGACTATACAGCTCCATCATTCTTATCAAAATCAGATTGTATTCAGAATCGCGGAAATATAACAGTTTTAAGATTATTTATAATATTATATTATTCAGGATTAAATAAATTTATTTTAATGGTGAGAGTGATAACGCCCCTTAAAAATTGATAGATGTACTTACATAATATAGCAGATGCAAATTTGGAAACCATGGTGGTGCTATTGAAGGTTTCAATGCGACTGTGATCCTGCCGGGCACTTGCGATTAGCATATACCTGTTTGATGACTTATTTCGCACCTGGTGCCCATAGCAACCAGTATCATCGACCAATGGCATCAGTTATTGCGCAAGGCCATCTAAACATTAAGAAATTATTGTTCAATAACTTTTTCACCAACAATGTTTTCCCAGGAACATTGATACCCTAGCGCTATTGATTATCCGTTACATAAACGTCCCGTGTATTAGTCTACTTACTTAAAGGAGCCGTCTCACAAATACATTTTTAATGAATTAAACGGCTTAATTGTAGAAATATTTTGTCGTTGCGACATTGTTTTCAGATTTATAGACAAGTAATAGAGAAATTAATGATGGCATTATATTGTATTAATTAATATCGTTGGTAGGTTATTAGATTCACATATATGTACTTAAATCAAGTTAGCGAATGAATGGCATATTGTTACATAAAAAAAGAGGTATAATTTGGTAAACATTAGTTGGTTCTGTGGGAATAAGAATATCGTGTATTAAATTACGATTGTATCATTTGGCTTGTTTAACCAATCTCTACACTTATTACATCATATTATTTGACCAATTAGATAACTGAAGGTCCAAAACCCAAATCTACAAAACTATCATACTTGTGAGAAATCGCTAAACAACAGCTTGATTCCAGAAGGTAAAAGATGTAGCAATTTCTATCAGCAGACTCGTCACAGCGAGTCTGGCTGGCTAGTGGTTGAGAATGACTTTACTATTGTAATCTATACTATGCTTGTATCCATGTATCGGGCTATGATATATAAAATGTAAAAACGAACTGTTGCATTGTTATTCCTGGAAAGACAAGCGTCTTAAGAAAACAGTAAGAATTAAATACACAACGTGAAGGGGAAGCAAAGACGACAGGTGAAAATACCAGACGATCACAAGGCTACTAAGATATGTATTAAGAAACGATGCATGGGTCATACGTAGGATGTGGCGACCGGAATCGATGGCCCGCTCTCCACGTTTGACAGAAAGACTCATGGTGCTACATTAATTCCTCGTTGAAGACTGCCGGAATAATTTACAGAAATTATTTCCCCTTGCAAAAAAGTCTATAAAGTTCATATTGGAACCAAATGTCGGCATTGACCCAACATAATTCTGTCAACTATACTCACTAATTCGAGATGTAAGATAATCGAGTTTACGGCGTTCATTAAACAAATAGTAGACACGACTGTCTAACAATAGTGAGTAAAGTGATTATTACGACCAGTTAATAGAAAGTAAAGCGCTTTCGACAAAACTACTTACTTCATCGCCACGTCGTTTTTCAGTTGTGGGAGCGGTCTTGCACAATGATCCCAGATGGCAGCATTCAAAATATTGCTAACCCAACGCAGTCGATATTAAAGATAAAGGGAGACGGTATATATCTTTCGTTTCGCATCTTCAATATCTACTGAGAAGCATGTTTCAGACAATTTATTTGCCCCTAAATTTTACTTGTCGTCATTATTTGAATATGAACTTAACAGACTTTTGGCATAATAATTAGCCTCAGTTTAATGTTATTTTTGGAAGAAAACTTCCATTTTACATGTGCCTGGGCATTATCCTACTCCTATCTGAATTTCTGTAGTTCGTTTTCTCAGAAATACAATCTTTCAGTTTCCATACTCCTAATAGTAAAGAC